CCCTCGATAATCTCCTCACGACGCTTCTGCTTGGAGGCACGGTCCTCGCTGAGAGACAGCGCGAACATGACCATGGCGATGAACTGCGAGGTGTAGGCCTTGGTAGAAGCAACACCGATCTCGGGGCCGGCATTAACGTGCACACCGCAGTGGGTGAGGAGGGAGATGGAGGAGCCAACGACGTTGACAATACCGACGGTCAGAGCACCGCGCTCGAGGCAGTAGCGCAGGGCCATGAGCGAGTCGGCCGTCTCGCCAGACTGGGAGACGAAGACGCAAGTGTCGTCACGGAAGACGGGGGCCTGTCTGTCAAGGAAGTCGGAGGCCAGCTCAACCGCAATCGGGATCTCAGCAAGCTCCTCGAAGATACCACGAACAGCCATGCAAGAGTGGTAGCTGGTGCCGCAAGCAATGAAGATGATGCGGCGGCAGCGGCGGATGGTCGAGATGTACGAGCGCAGGCCGCCAAGAGTGACAGTCTTGTTGGCAACATCGAGACGGCCACGCATGGTGTTGACCACAGATTCGGGCTGCTCGAAAATCTCCTTCTGCATGAAGTGGTCGAACTTGCCCTTCATGATCTCCTGGAGCTCGAGCTCGAGGGTCTGAATAGTACGGACGTTGGAGCTGCCGTCAGCCTTCTTGAGGCGGTGGATGTTCAGCGAGCCCTCGTGGATGTGGGCAATGTCGTCATCCTCAAGGTACATGACCTTCTTGGTGTGCTCAACAATAGCAGAAGGGTCCGAAGAGAGGAAGAACTCGGTCGGCATAGGCATGCCATCGTCGGTCATGAAGGCACGCGACTGAGAACGGTGCAGTAGGGACTTGTCAGGGGCAGCCAGCAGAGAAGTAGGGTTAAGCAGGTCGTTCTGCTTCTTGAGGGCGACATTCTGGGAAGCCTCCTCGGCGGGGAGGGCGGTGTTCTCGTCGGAATACTCAACATCGACGAAATCGACCTTCATGCGGCGCTGAGTCTTGACGCCGATAACGAGAGGAGAACCCTTGCGAGCGGCAACAACCTCGTGGGGGTAGTGAACGGACTTGATCAGCAGACCGTAAGCACCCTCGAGCTCGGAGATGACAGCCTTGGTGAGATCGGTGAAGCCGACGTTGGGGTGCTGATCGTACAGGTACTTCGCCAGCTTGGCGATGCACTCGGTGTCTGTCTCGGTCTCGAACTTGAAGCCCTTGCTGCTGAGCAGCGTCCTCAGCTCCTTGTAGTTGGTGATGATACCATTGTGGACGACGGTGAACTCCCAAGTGGGGTCAGATCTGCAGCGGGAAGGCAAAAGTCAACTTGATGTGTGGGTGGGTTGGCAATGGCCCTAGTCATTGGGGCGACGCATGGCTTGAGCCGCGCGGGCTTTTACTCGGTCGAGTTCGGATCGCAGCTCGAATCAAATTCAGGTGCAGACGTACCGGTGGGGGTGGCAGTTCAGGCGAGAAGGAGGGCCGTGGGTAGCCCATCGGGTGTGGGCAATACCAGCGTGAGAGTCGAAGATCTGGGTCAGGTCGGGCTTGGACTCCTCAATGAGCTGCTTGAGCTTGGCGACCTTGCCAACCTCCTTGTAGGCGAAGACCTCATTCTTCTTGTCGCCATCGACGGCCAGACCGGCTGAATCATAGCCACGGTACTCAAGGCGCGAAAGACCTGAAAGCGAAGAGTGCGTCAGCATGAAATGGAGGGGCAATGTGATGTGTGTTGCCGAGGAGACTGGGAGGCGGGGATAGGGGGAGCACAGCAGTTGTAAAGCCGTGCTAGGCCTTTCAGATTGCTTCGTCTTAGCATGTCAGGAGCTGCTTACCGTTGATCAAAGTGTCTACGATGAACTTGCGGTCCTTCTCCACCAGGTAGTTGACGTAACCGAAAATGCCACTATTGGAAACGTATCGCAGTCAGCTTCTGATGGTCAAGACAGCCCAATGGATTCCCATCCGCGGAGCTTCCCCAGGCGAAAATCCAGCATCCAGTCCGTATAGTGACAACCTGGACGCCCAACGGCCCCGGCCGCCGCTCGAAACTCTGTAGTAGTGCAACAAGGCGAGGCAAAGCTGGTACATACCACATGTTGACAGAGACTGAAGAGGTACGGTGAGAAAGATAGTAGGGGAAAGAGAGACGCAAGAGTCGCTGATCGGTGCCGGAACGAGGGTGGAGTTCTGTAGGCAAGCGGTTCGGGTATCAAGGAGGAGAATCGGCGTCTGGAGAGGGGTAGAGCAGGTGAAATAGCGAGAGCAGGAGGAGACAAGAGAGGAGAGAAAGGAGAGGTCAATGGAGGGGGGAAATAGGAGGGAGCTGGGAGAGCTTTATGTGGCCAAGGTCTCAGATGGGCTAGGGGAGTAGCGTCTCGAGCTGCGTGGTGGGTGTTGGGCGTTTCTCTGAGGCATTGACGAGTGGGCAAGGTACGACAAGGCAGTGGAGGGGCAGGGGGGGGCACCTTCTCAGAACCGCGCATGGGCGCGCAGGTGTGGCTGCCAGGGTTGCTGAGTCTCCGGTAGGCGGCTGCCAGCTTGCTCCGCGACTCGCAAATCAAGAGAGGCGGTACTCAGGTACCTCCAGCATCCATCATCTTCACCATCTCCCCTGGTTCTTCGGAGCGGTGTGGTCTGCGCATTTCAATGCTGCCACTCAAGGCGTCTGTCTTGTTCAGGGGCAAAATGAACAGACCTGGCGCGGGACAAAAGACGGGTGCAAGGACCAAGCGCGCACAATCCGATGGTGGGGGTAGCAAGCGGGTTGCAAAAAAAATGAGACGTACCAGATCCCTCCCCCATAACCATTCCTACTACCCAGCTATTCAGCTATACATTTCTATAACGACTCCAGAGCTTCAGTCTAGGCGAAAAGCCTTTCTTTAAAATAGTGTACATTATACTGATCTATAAACTCAATAGTCACTATAATTCTAGATCTTGTAGGTGTCTCGTAGTAGTGTTGTGCAGTTATTCTAGGTAGAGGGGCTGGGGTGAAGCATTCAGTACGTCTCATTTTTTTTGCAACCCGCTTGGGTAGTAAACACATGGCCAGGACCCTCAATTCTGTCAACACTGAGACGCACGGGAATGCCCATTTACCAGCCTCTAGCAGCAACATCAGTCTCACTTGATGTTCTGGTTTTCTTTCACATGCGATCAGGTCAGCAAGCAAGTACTGAGATCTAGACTCATGAAGTCGCATCAAGGAGGAACATCTTTCAGAATTCGGAAGTCCACCCATGGGCTGGTGTGAGACGGTCTGCATTTCTTGCCCAGTCTCTACCCGTTTGCAGACATCCAACAAAACTAGCTGAACCACCATTCAACACCTCGTTTCTTCTGCTAGCTGCTCTGCATATGGTTGAGCGAGCCGGCGACAGACAACACATCATCCGTCAACGGCTCGCCTTGGTCGCCATGCACTGCATTGTGGCATTGCCGCTTCGACCACATCGCCCTCGATACCTAATGCCAGATCATTCTAGCGTCCGACCACGATCTCTATTCGTACACGAACTCGTCCGTCGTCTCTGGCAACAACAAGTGGAGGGGCAACAAACATGGCAGCGGCGAAAGCAACCCTACACACGACCGGCCGGCTGGCAAGGCGAGGAACCTAGCTTAACAACAACCCCTGGCCAGACCGATGGAGTGCTCTCGAAAACACGCAGCCCGCTAAGACGGAGCCGGTTAGCGTCACTGCCTTCTGTGGCAGGGAGCATCGCTTTTGTAACGCGCCACTCGCCGCTCACTATGTTCCCGTCGAGCCCGTCAGCCCAATCGTCATCCATAATGATCTCCAGCTTATTGAGATGCTCCCGCAAAGACTTTTTATCTGCGACACAGATGCATCCTAGTACGGCCATCTGGACATGTACGTACATGACACAGCCGATATTCGAGGAGACTTCTTGGTCCTCAGGATTACCCATCTCTCTCTCCAAAATATCACTCGTGTCCAGAGGGCTCCTCCACAAAATCAGATGATAATCGACATCGCAACCTGGAGATCGGTCCCCTTCTCAGCGTTTCATCGCATACCTCATCGCGACCCCACCTCCACTTCGTATTGCCCTGGCAAGCCTGGTACGCTCTGCCCGACCTCTCGTCCCGCAAAAAGAAAACCACATGTCGTGTCATGCTGTTGACCCTGTTTTCCCGATACTACCATTTCGCCGGTTCAAGCGCTAATTCGGTTGAGATCGACGGCACTTCCGAGTCTTGCAGCGCCGCCGCCGAGCCAGCTCAGGTACGAAGTGAGGGCAAAGCTCCAGTCTGGCCTGGCCACCGTCCGGCTGGGTGCGGTGCGAGCACGAGGTGCAGCCTAGGTGTGCAGCCTCAGCGGAAATGTGGGAGCTATTGGCCCCCCATGCGCACTGGGCATCCCCGCCAACACACCAATAATAGCATCAACCCGGATCTCGCCGGGAACCCCTAAATCGCTGCGCCTTTCTTCACCAATACAGACATATGCGCCCTCGTTCCTGGTTTTTATTTCGGGTATCATTGAGACGCAGATATTTGGCCTTCAGTGAGACCGGGCGCCGCCACGTATCCACCACATGTGCAGGTGGAACACCGCGGTTGTCCCACACATCTTGTTGCGAAGCACGACATGCTGCGAAGTCCAATGCCGCCCCTTTTTCGTGACGGGGTCCCCTTGCTGAGGCTGAGCGCCGCCGTGCCTAGATATGCGACCAAGCCTAGCTTTTTCTGATGTCAGCACATGGGCGATAAACGTCCAGGCAAGCAAGGCTGACCTGACCAAACGTGATGTGCCTACGACAGTGTGGATTCCTGAACGTCGGGATGGGCCGGGGCGCCTTGCCTGGCAGGTATTCACGGCGTGTAGGTCTTGCAGTGACGCAGACTGCTTCAGACGTCACCGTTGCATTTGTAGTCCGCATTCAAGCTTAAAAATGTGGAGCTTCCGGCCTTACGCGAGGCTGTTATAATAATACGTAGAGCTATGCACGATCTGCTGTTTACCCACGATTTCAGATGACATACATTCCGGCTGCAGGCGACAAAATCAACTTCGGCTTGTTCAGCCCGTTGTATTTCCTTTTCCAGTGCACCAAACCCAGTATATTCGGGTCCGACCGCCCAGAGAAGGTATAACGTGAGATGTCTAGTGGTAAGCGCACTGTCGCCGAACCTCGCTGCGCCAGCAATCGCTACATATCCCCTGCCCGAGCCAACACATCCCCGCTGGAGGTCCCGGTTGTGATGATGGGTATTGTGACCGTGTTACAGCTATGAGCTTTACAAGCCCTGGTCCTTCGAGATGACTAACTTGCGTCGTCCCAGTCTAGAGCTTCTGGTACTCAAGCTTGCCCTCGAGCTTCTTCGATTCGGCCACCTTGCGAACGGCCTTGTTGAAATCGTCTTGGCTGATGGCATCACGGTAGTCCTTGATAGCGAAGAGGCCACTGTAAAAACCATCGTTAGTTGTGTGTTGTTTGAAAGGATGCAGGAAAAAACATGAACGGGACAGGAAGAAACAAGCAGAAAAAAGAAAAGATGATTCAACATACGCTTCTGTGACAACATTGCGCAGATCAGCACCGTTCAGGCCATCGCTCATCTTGACTACGCTCTCAAAATCAATCTCGCCATCGGTGATGACACCGGCAGCATGGATCTTGAGAATCTCCAGGCGCCCAACCTCGTTAGGCAGAGGAATCTCAATCTTACGATCGAGACGGCCGGCACGGAGAAGAGCGGGGTCAAGGGTATCGGGTCGGTTGGTGGCCATGATGATCTTCGTCTTGCCAAGGTAATCGAAACCGTCGAGTTGGTTGAGCAGCTCCATGAGCGTCCGCTGGATTTCACGATCCGCACTGGTACCCTCAGAGAATCTTCGACCACCAATGGCGTCAATTTCGTCCATGAAGATGATGCAGGGTTCGTGCTCCTTTGCGTAGCCGAACATTTCTCGAATCAAACGGGCTGACTCTCCGATGTACTTGTCGACGATGGCAGAGGAAACGACTGTGTTGACTGTTATTTGCTGCGTCATGCCACGATAGTCTGGGTACTAGACTTACTCTTCAGGAAGTTTGTCTCGAGACTAGATGCAACAGCACGCGCCAGAAGGGTCTTGCCGGTACCAGGGGGGCCGTACAGGAGGACACCCTTTCGGGGGCTTGATGCCAACACGCAGGAACAGCTCGGGGTTCTTCAGTGGCAGCTCAATGACTCGCGGAGTTCGCGAATCTGATCGTTCAGGCCACCAATACCGGCAAAGTTGACCTGGCCGGGATCCTCGAGGGACATGTTATAGACGAGAGGGTCGACTTCGCGAGGGAGCATGCGCATGATGGTGAGTGTTGTCATGTCGAGGGCGACGCGTGTTCCTTGCTTCAGCTTCTCCTTGTCGAGCTTCGTACGGCAGCCGACCACGTACCGCGGCCCAGAGGAGGCCTTGACGATGACTGTGACGCAGAGGCTTGGTCAACGCATGTCGGTGTTTGAAGGGGAACAACGAGAACATGAAACATACATCGCTCATCTGGTAGCTGCTTGAGGACTTCACCGATAATCTGGCCTACACTTTGCAGTGCCTTGATGGAGTCTTCGGTGCGGTCAAACTCCTTCTGTAGTTCCCTAATCTCCAGGCGCAAGTCCTTCAACTTCGTCTCGAGCTCCCTCGACTTGAGGAGCTCGGATCGGTAGGCATCGAGGGCCTGCTGGCGTTCCTCCTCGGACGACATGACGGGCTGGAGATGTCCTGGACTTTTGATAGAAATGAATGTATCAACAGCGCTGTGGGGTTGTGTGATGTGTTCGTTGCGGATGGATGGTGGTGTATCGCAGGCGGTTTGGTGTGACGGGTTAGAGGCAAGGCAGCTACAGCATGTACGTAGCTCTCCGTTGTTCGAATGCAGGAGCAATCGCGTTAGCGGCATACGCTTAGCCGCGTTACGCGCCAGGCGTCTGCTGATTGGCGGGTGCTGACAAATAATGACCCGTTTCTAATTGATGCAGGTGCTCGTCTACCATGACCATCGCTAGAACACCATGACCTACCAAAGTGCTATAAGTGCTGTCATACTCATTGACGACGCTCAACCGTGACCCAAGCTTCGTTCTCAAAATTTGACCCTTAAGTCGAAGCCAAGTCTTCAAGATGTGTCTTCTCGTATATACATATGTCTTAACTTCTGTGGCTGAGCATTACCTCCGGCTCGAGATTGAGCCAGCTATAACCCTAGTTGTCCGATGGGTATTTTGCAGCGAAGTGCTCACACAATGCCTCCAAAGTCTCGACAAAGGGTGCTTTCCTTTCTCTATAACCGTGATGCCATTGTTTCCTATACCTGGAGTACAGTATTCAGCCTGGCTTCTTGTTACATTGCGTTGTGACAGTCTTACTCCATCCACAATCCATACGTCAGATACCACACCCGACAGAGCTACGGGTTATCGCTCTATTCTTCCTATTACCTATGCTTTGTTGACCAGGTCCGATTGTCATTTACTGCTTACTTGTCAGTCACACCTGGACTCTACTGTGGTGCATGGTTCTTGACGCGCAAGACCAAAAAAATGACTGTCTAACCTGAACAACTAAGATATCATACGTGTATGACAGTAGCCCAGTGCTTCTTTCCGAGTACCTGCCCACTCATCGCAAGGTGGATGGGCTTTACCATCAGGGCTTGTGGGCGCGGTTGTGGCAAAAGAGTACCATGAAATGCCGACAGTGGTCGACTCAGCCCACAATCTTACCGACATACTGAAATTAGTTTCGTATGTGATATGTTACACTTCGAACTTGCGGCTAGTCCAACTGGGAACCGTGCAGATGCTGGCACCCAGTATCCAATTCGGCTACCCAGCTGGAGACATTTGTCACTTTGAGCAAGCTAGCATGCGCATATCGTGATGGCCTGGATGGCAGCTTTGAAGACGACGCTCAAAATCACGGCGTCCCACCGCGGCCAATACGACTTGAAGACGAAAAGTCCAGATACTCAGAGTTGATCATTGAGAATCGCAGCACACATGCGGTTTGTGTGCCGGTCTCCAGAACTATTTCTGCCGGAAGAACGAGCCATCCCCTCGTCATTCTCAGCTATTTGACCTGTATTTGGCTAACCTTCAAGTTAAATCCGCATCCAGACAACCACTACATACGACCAGAGGGTCCACGCAAGAATCTCGACATACCCTAGCGGCATCATAGGAGGCAAATACAGGCATTCATGAAGATACTTAGTCTTACTACGGGAAAATGAAGTAGGAGGACTCTCCAAATGCTAAATCGCCAGGTGCTAAGGTGAGGCTCCAAACTAATCAACATGAGTGTTCGATATCCAAGCAATAAACGCCTCGTTAACGCCAGGGTATCCGAAAAAAAGTCATACAATCATGGCCGTTTTGAAGGCCTCAGCTGAACATCATCAGGCACTGCCGCTGTCCTGTGTTGTTGCCGCTATCACCCCTCAGCTTGCTAGCTCTGTTGAGATCTCCTCCCTCACCCTTTTGCACCACGCCCAAATGGCTGTCTCGAGTCCGATCCAGACATCAGGACTACTGTTATAGACTATGCCGAGAGCATCAATTTTGAGTGGCACCTCCCACCTGAGTTCTGCTGCCTTGATCCAATATCGAAGATTGTCAGCGCAACGGTACGGCTTTTCCGTGTCCTCATGGAAGGTAGTGATGCCGCCGAATCGGCGCTTCGACTTCTTGACGGCAGCGTTGTGAAGCTTCACGAGGCGAAGCCCATTCTGCATGCTTCTGAGAAAAGGAGTAGGGAGATCGCCAGACGCCAAACCCGTCGATGGGGTATACTCCGGGAGTGGTCCGAGGCCCAAACCAACTTCAAGAGAAGCCATAAAAGAGAGCTCCCGTTCCACTTCCTTCCCAGCCCAGTCGCCATGCAGCCAAGTCCAAGTGGCTTGCTCGGCACGCTCGGCCTCCTCCATATCATGCTCCTGCTGTAGCATAGCGAAGAGACCTTGGATCCACCTGTCGAGGATGTCAAGCTCTTCGTCACGCATACCTCCAGCCCATCGACGGGTTGCCATCTGCTTCAGCGTTTCCATGACGGAAAATATGTCGGCACGGATCTGGCGCTCGGGTTTGATCGCGTCAAGGCGTTCTGGCTGTTCGTGTGCAGTGTAGTACATCTTGGCAGCGCGAATGGCGAGCGTCATGACGTCGAGAATGTGCATCCCTTGGATTTCGAACCAACCATGGGTCTTGGAGGATTTTTGACGAGTATGACCGCCTGCTGGATTCCTAATCTCGATCGTGGGTGTTTCGGCGAAGGGATGCTCTTGCTCCTCCGCCGAGTCTTGACGTGCCCTTGCTTCCTTGAGAGATGCTGCTGCTTTCTCAAGCGAGCTGGTGAGAGATGATTTGAGTTCTGCTATGGATGGCGGCTTCGGCACAGGTTTCTCGCGGTTGATGTATGTACTAGCCGTCGGGGGAAGCATGTTTGGGTCGCTGTCTTCGAATTCGTCGGAATAATATTCGTCATCGATGGGTGACTCGACCATTGGTCCAGCAGTGAATCCAGAGGCAGCAAGATCAGGGCTGCTACCCATGGAAGCATATGAAGAGTCGGAATCAGAGGCGAACAGTGGTAGTGACAGGTTCGCCGCGTCGAGGGATGATAAATCCAGTGTTCCTCTCAGCTTCCTGTTCTTCCTCTGAAGCTGACCACCCTTGCCGTCAAGCAGGCCGGTGCGGGCGAAGAAGTGTTGAACATGGGCGATGCTCCCAAGACTCATGACGCTCTCCCTCGACTGGGCACTGGCGGCAAAAGCAGTGCCTTGGGGCCGCATGTATCCGCGTCGTCGGCTGGCTCGGCTGTCGACACTGTAACTCGAATGGCGGGATGAGGCAAAGCTCACATCGGAGCGGCGGCCATAGCTTGCAGATGACTGTCTGGAGAACGCATCGCTTCCCATGCTCCCAAGGGAGTCCCTGGGGGCGAACTCGGTGCCAGACCCGTGGGATAGATCGGATGCTGTCGACAGACAGCGAGAGAGCTCAGGGTAGGCTCCTATCGCTGGTGTTGGGTCTATCTCAGGCGAAGGGGACTCGGCCCGCGTTGGTGCGGCCTGCTGATCGGTAGCCGTAGCCATGGTCGTCTGTTCGAAATTCATGCAAATAGTCGACAGTGAAGCTAACAGCAGTAGGCGGATGGTTCAGCCTTTAAGATGAATGACGCAGGTGAGGTCAAGGGAAGCTCCCCCAGCTCAGCTTTGTGGGAGTGGAATGTTGATGTTTCAGGTCGTAGGCGGGGCGACGAGCTGTAGGAATTAGTAGTCGTTAGGACGTCTAGGCAAGGCGCTCTGTTTTTTTAAGAAATGTCAGAGAGTATATACAAGACGCGAGAAGATAGCTGTTGATGCGATCGTCGGCACTGCACAGCAGCCATGGAGAGGTTGCAGAACGACCAAGCAGGCGGGAATCAAATGGCTGTAGAACACGAAGAGGGTGGGAGGGAATGTTTTCGTGGAGGGATGGCCTCGGACCGAAGCCGTTGAAATGAGTGGACGGTGGTGCTCTCAGCAGGCAACGCAAACGCAAAAGACCAACGACAGCAACGAAATAGGCGCAAAGCGGAGAACGCAAGGCAGATGGCTTCAGTTTGTCATGGATGGTGTGAGGAGAAACGAGGCGAGGCGAGCGAGCAACTGTCCTGCTCAAGGGATCAGGGGTTCGCTTTGGAGCTTTCGGCTGTCCAATGTCTTGCACTGTCTCCAAGTTCCCAGCTCCAATAGGAGACACCTGTCTGAGTTAGCCCCACAGTCCAATTAAAGGGCGGGTTGCTGGGGAAGGAGAGATCGAGGACGTGACGTGAAGACACAGAAAGCGCGTCGACCTCCGACGCTTCCTGCCTGTGCTTGTGCTGGTAGTGGGGGCAGCAATGGCACGCGTCGAAACAATCAATAATAACCAAGGGCTGCCCACTGGAGAGGCCGTACATGAGTGGCACCTGACTGGTCATCCAATATACATCGGCGCTGGGCGGGAACGGGGGACTAATTCGGCAAAGAACTGCCTAACAGGCAGATGACGCCAAGAACCATAGCCCTGTGCACTCAATTGCTTTTTACCTGACAAGCCTGCCAAACACCCCAAGAATACCGAGGTGGCTTCCGCTTCTCTTGTCGACAGTACCCGTCAAGCTGGTGCCAAAAAAAGCCGCGTGGGAAAAAGATAGGTACTTGTATTAGTTAGGGACCCCTATATAAATAGAAGTACTTACCAGTTTCTATCATCTAGTTATCCTGCCCTTTATTTCTATTACATCTCGCACCCTCTATAGCATTAAGTCGATTCAGTGATTGACGCGTTCTGGATGTACTTGGAGGTCTACCTAGGCCTCTATAACTAGAATTAGTGGTGATGGAATTGGTGGTGGAATCGCCACGCGGCTTTTTTTGTCACCAGCTTGCCCGTCTCGAAAGCCACCAAGGGCTTCTCAACAGTGCACCATGTCTGCTTGTTGGTCTCGAGATGAGATGTATCAGCCTGACAATCGGTTACTAGGTAGCCATCTTTCGGCCATTCGAGTCATGCATCAATCAAGTTCCTTGCCTTCGCCCTCTGGTCCTCAGTATTCAGTATTCTTCCTCAAAGAATGCCAGCCACCTAACTGATCCCTTGCCATCTGTCGAGAAAGTCGTTATCAATGCCTAGGGTAAACACGATCTTGCGTCATACCATATCCATCTCTGCTGATTTCCACTGATACCCCAGCGCACTCTTAGGCCGCTGTTGCCGATATGACTGCAGGTTGAGGTCAGATCTGTCATCACCTGCGTCAGTCCCGAAAGGTACACTCGAACCCCGAGGATCGTCAAGCTCGTTGACGCTATCATGTGGATAGGCCATTCCCCGCGTTGCCGAGCACCGAAAGACGCCAACACCCAGCCAGAGACGGACGAGGCGATCTCCCTTGAGGCCACTCCTGTACATCTCGCAGCCATCCACTTATTTTACTGTCTGTCCCAATATCACGATACACATGGCCAGCCACTGCTCCAGATCTGCTCTTGAGTGGATACATATATCCGATGTGAATGGGCCTCCCAGGAGTCCAATGACCGCTCCTGGGCCAGAGCCCAGCCCGGCTGTCTGGACTGGTAGGGTAGCCTCGCTGGGGCGACCCTGAAAAGCCCCGAAACCCCGTGCGTAGGTTGGCTGGATGGTGGTTGGCCTTCCACCACGTAACCTTACACGCAGGGTGTACATGTACATGTACAGACCAGTCGAGACGTGAAGCTAGATCAGCGGTTCACCGAGACAGTGGCAGGCAGAGCAGCATGCTTTTTGCGTCCCATGCGCGACACACTGAAATCCCGCGTGCCCTTTGGCATGTACAAAACAAACAGGCTGAAGGCATTCGCTCAGCGTCAGATCCGCAGCGATTGTCCCGCGAAGAACGTTCATAGCCGATGATTAAGGTTCGAGCCATTCGATGCTCTGCTTCCCACATAAGTAGATAGCAAACTTGACGTATACCTGGAAGCCGAGGTGACCTTTTGCATTAGATTTACTTCCGCCCCCGCTCGTCGGTCTTCTTCCTGTGCTTAGATCGGTCGAGGCGTTTCTCGACCTGCAATTCGACTTGTTGCCAGTGGCAACATAGTACCGTGACGCAGACGATGCTTCTCTCTGTCCTCTCATACACAGGCTGACACATCAAACACAAGACTGGACAGCGTCTTGCCAAGCAGCGCTGTCTGAGAGTCCAGTTCAGAGACACGCCGTGAGACTGAGCCGGTGGTCTTGTTTTATGCAGGTCGAACGCTCGTGGCCGCTGGCTGTCAGTGCGTCGTAGCACAGTACCATGTTCGAGTGAACCAGGTCACCCCGGCTGCCACAATCTTCCAGACACGTTCTTCTGCCCCTGGAAGCGTCGAGTCTGTCAGGGTTCTCGGGCGTGAGTCGCAGGGTAGGCCTGTATGACTGCCGCAGGAGGTGACATTGGTACGACTCTGCAACTTTAGCATTCCACCGAGGGCGACATCGTCTGATCGAGTTGTCGCGCCCTACGTGCCATGGAGGGAGATCTCGCTGCCTCCAAGATCACAATGGCCTGGAAGCGTGCACAAGGCGTGGCTGGTAGTTCCGTGACGAGGCCATCGACGCTACAGGTCGTCCAAGGGAAATGAGAGAATTCTCGTCACACTGCTACCGTGCTTTTTGGGTTTGGATGAGATTCCCCTTTCCGGGAAAAAGGCGCCGGAGAGATGGAGGCAATTTGCTTAACGAGGCGTTTCATCCAGCTACAGATTGGACCCCTCTCGAGGCGCCGGCTCCCAGACCTGAGCCTGAGCCGAAATCTGCTGTGACGAGCGAAGACAATCAGAGACCCTCTGCACAATTCTCGACTGGAACTGGTCTTGCCAGGCTCGCGAAACCAAAGCAGACGAGACTCTCGTCTATCTCTTGGGACCCCTGTGTGTCAACTCTCAAGAAGGGATCAAGCCGCCTTGGTACTGTGGAGAGCATCTCTTCTTGTCTCCTGCTTGTGTCCATCTATCGTGCATCTGCTCTGGTACCTCACACCTCCTCACCTCACTCAACCACGCGGCGGCTTTGCGATAAAAGAGCGTCGCACTAATGGTTACTTGACTCGGGCCAAACGCTGTCTTCACGCGGCCTCCACCACCATTCGCTGGCAATCGCCGCCAACGCCGCCATAGAGCATCGAGGCGATCGTGTTCATCCGAGTGTCTCGCTTTCCTTCTTGATGGCTGCACATTCTTTTACAGCTTTCCCACTTCCCCATCATCCTGTCCTTGACACAGCACATGTATACTTGAGTGCCGTGCGACCATTTGGATCTCACTCCTTTTCCTTTCCTTTATACATCTTCGTCGCCGGCGCGCACCGATAACGCTGTCGACCGGCAGACAGAGGCGGCTACGACGACTTGCGACAGCAGAGACAGCACAAACGACGTTTCTCTCAACGATCACGGCGCACGCAAGGGACGTCGAACTTGGATTCGGTCTTCTTCACCACTACCCACAGACTTCGCTGTCCCACCATTGTGGTCGCTCCAGTCTGACACTGGCGATTGTGAGGGGAACAGCAGCAGCCTTTCTCTCTGCACTTGGTTTCCAGCACGCAGACACACTACTGCAGAGCAAGGGGAGGCCCGCCTGCGCCAATAGCGATTGCATTCTACAACCTGCCTGCATCATCGTCAGATGCCCTGTCACCGAGTTGGGGGCCTAGGAACAACACACGCCTGTCTAGGTATCTGACTCTACCCATTCCAGCGTCTGCATCAGGCGTCCTTCACTTGTGTCCGGACCGGTTCCGGCCTTGCGACCCCGCTGGAGGCTGCGCTTCAAGAGACGTGTGATTGTGCATTGATCACAAGCTCCATAGAGAAACGGTTGATCCCTTTCTGGCGTGCGAGCATTCCGCTGGAAGGGACACATCACTCGGCAAACGCTCGTCCGTGTCGGCATCGTCGCCGTCGGCGTCGATGGATGATGTCGTGGCTCCCAAAGGCACTCCGGGCCCTGATGGTGCAGGTGTCGGTGTCCTTGGTGGCCTGATGCCAGGCTTCCACAGCAGCGGCAGCTTCCAAGGCAGCAGTCCACTGACCGCCCCGACGACCTCCCCTGCGCCGCCCGCCCCTGCCCCTGCATCTGGGCCTGCTACCACAGCCAGACTGCCCCGAAGTGCCCCATCCCCAGGCCCCGACGAACTGGCCGCTGGCCTTGCATTCAGTGACGTCTCTGATGAACTTTTCCAGCTGCGGCCCCAGTTCGATAACAACAACAACAACAATTCGAGCCCAACCATCACCGCTTCCAATCCAAGCCATACCACCAGCCCGTCACTCTCCAGGGCGACTCTTGCTTCCAATCCCGCAACACCCAATACCGGCACTGCGAGCACATCACCCTCGACCCAACCTGCTGCTACCTCACAGTCCAACACACCGACCTCCACTGCCCAGCCGCGCAGACCATCCCCCGGATTAGCTGCCCGACTCAAGGCGCTCGGATTCGGCACCTCGAACAAGAAACCCCCCGACCCTTCCCCGACAGCGCCTCAGCACGACCGCATCGGTCGGCTTCCTGAAGACCAGATCCGACAACTGGAGAAAATACACCGGGCGAACTCCGTCAACTCGATCATTGAACGGCGCGGTCGCCCCTGGAAGGGTGCCACCGCTCCCCTTCACAGATCCAAGTCGATCGCCGACGACAGCTCGGATAGGCCACAGGCCACACAGACGACCGAGTCAACCCCCGTGCATGCGTCTTTGCAACTCGCTGTCGCTGTGCCCGAGACGACGTTGTCGAATGCTTTCTTGCCGGAGATTGCTGCCTCAGAACCTCTGAATATGGACACCCAGAAGTATCGCTTGCCGGACCACACAAATGGCAACGGCACCAAGGTGCAACTTGAGACAAGGCAGGAGCACCTTGAGCGAACGGCCAGGCCGCCCTCGCCCGACGAGGATGTGACTATTCCCCCTCCACCACCACCCAAGGACACTCCGCCCACGTTGTCAGCCGAGTTTACCCCTGACATCTCCTCCTACTTTACGGCCAATCACCAACGCCCAGGCTCAATCTACACACTCTCCCGCGCCTCCTTTGCGAACCAGCTCGCCCAGCTGACGTCGCTACAACTGCCCGATGCCGGCTCCCTCGCCAGCAAGGTTTCCGCCATTCCCACTGCAGACCAGGCCTCCAAAGCTCTGATAAACGCCGCGGAGCAGATTCGAAGCTGGATACAAAAAGCGTCCGAAGTCATTGCTGGCCTGGACAGCGAAGATGATGTGGAATGGGCAGCAGCTGGTGGGCGCGAAGGCCTGGCAGAGGTGGAAAGCGCTGCCGCTCGCTTCGAAGACCTGATCAACGTTTATGTCGGAGCGATTGAGAAATTACAGTGTCGAGAGGACATTGCCATTGTGCCGCCAGGGGACCTCAAGCGGGCTGTCGCTCAGATGGAGGCCATCATCAACGAGTGGGCTATCATCGGATCCACCCTGAACACGGTGAAACAGCAAGTCGAGATCGCCATGGAGTGGGAAGAACTGTGGAACAACGTCCTTGGCGACATTCAGGGCGAGATGGACGAGCTATGCCGTCTGGTCTTCGAGATGGAAGAACGACGCCACAAGTCTCTCATGGCCGCTACTACCAACGACACAGTCGACATTGGAGACTTGGAGACTATCGTCGAAGAGACTCCCCCACAACAAACCAAGCTGCAGGTGCAGAACCGCTTCAGCCTCAGCACCTTCCCAATGAGCCCCAGCTCTCCCGGCACGCCGACACTGTCACAGGATGACTCCAGTCTTCTCGCGCTGTTCGCCCGCATGCAGCCCTTGAAGGCGTCCCTAGAATTTCTCCCCATGCGGCTTTCCGTCTTCGAAGCCAGGGCCGAGAAGTCTTTCCCTACAGCCTGTGAGGAGTTGGACATGCGGAGGAATGGCCTGGATGGCACCTACAAGAAGTTAGAGAAGGACGCCGAATCCCTGCGCAAAGAGCTAGGCGAAGATCGTTGGGTCCTTGTGTTCCGAGGTGCAGGACGACAAGCGCAGAAGATGATTGAGTCTGTGGAACGTTCACTCCTGAAGCTGAAAGATTCGGTTGACGCGGGCCACCATCTCACGAGCGCCCCCGCGCTCAGCAAGAAGATCGAGAGCTATGATGCCAAGCGAACTCACTACGGCCCAGCTATCGAGAGGGTTCTCTCCATCATTGACAAGGGCGTTAAGGATCGCCTGACAGTCAATGGCGAGATCCTAAGGCTGCTTGCTGAGATGGAAGCGAAGTGGGGATCCTTGAAGGGGCAGATGACGGATATGGATGCGACTTTGGACGAGATTCACGTTGACCAGCGCGCGCCGCAACTGCGGGACTCAGTCTCGAGTATGCTTTCGAATGACCGTTCGACGATCGACAGCGGACGCGAAACACCAGGCAGCTCCCCGCCATCCTCTGTCATCATGTCGAGCTTGGGCTTGGATCCTATTACGCCGACTGGGAAGCCCCGCAATGTTCGCCCTACAGGCAGCAACGGCAAGGCCTCGCACCCAAGCAACCGTCGGTATTCGTCCATGCCCACACCGGCCTCCCAAGTGTCGCGAAAGCCCCTGACGTCTCGTATGTCTACATTGGGCACATCCAACCTGCCGACTCCGGGCGGCAAGATTCCTCGTCCTGGCTCGACCCTTGCCAACCGACCAAAATGGAACCTGTCAAGCAACACATCGGATGTCGGGACCGGCCATAATTTCAAGCCCCTGTCGTTGACGACACCTAGCCCGTATGCCAAGAAGACACCTACGACAGCGCGAACTGCCTCCTCCTTAACCCCATCTTCCGGCCATCGCCTTACTCCTGCAGGCCGCAGTCCTCTCAATCGATCCTCCTCTGCTTCGCCCATGTTGGAGGAAACACCGACCAAACCTAGTACATCGCGGCTGTCGTTCCGTGACAGAATTGCCTCTCCCGGCCCCTATTCCCAACAGGTTCTGTCCAAACCTCGATTCGCATCGTCAGTCTCGGCCAGCGCAGTCTCGACAACCGGGAACCGACGAGCGTCTCTGCAACCGCCGAGACTCGGACAGCCCGACCCTGTCACTCCCGCTCGCCCTGCAAGTTCCCTGGCCGCAGGAAGGCGTGTCAGCATGCTGCCACAGCCCAGGACGATGGGCGCCAACGGCCGAGACTCTCCTCAGCTCACTGCAGGCACTCGAAGCGCGCTAGGAATGCGCAACAACTCCAACTTGGAGTCGTCTGCGACAACAGCCAGTGCGAAACCTCGATGGCGGCATTAGGAGGCCGTCCTTACGGGCCGAACGAGACTGAGCAGTCTGAGCGTTTCGCCCGGACCTGCAGAGGCGGATACGACCACCGAGACGGCGAAAAGCAAACCCCGCTGGCGGCTGTGAGCTATTGCTGGCCTCGTATCCTTGTCGCACAGAACCTGGGCAACGAACGCGTACAGTTTCGTCCCCCCCTCGGTTCGATCAGCGGATATCCATTTTCCTTGGTTCCCATTCTAGCGATCGGTTATGGCACGGCGTTTATGGGTGAGCGGGCCTACAGCGTTGAATTCGTCAGAGAGGAGAATACTGCCCAAAGGGAGCCCACCAAGAGTTTTGGTCGGGCCTCCAGAAGGGTAATCTTTAATGCGAAGACCCTCGGGTGTCAAGAGGGAAGCACGTGAGATGGACTAGTTGAAGGAGGAGAAGAAGACGACGACGAAGAAGAAGAAGGCGGGAGGGCAGGAAGGCGATAAACAAACTAGCAAACCGTTATACCCATGTACGTTTTTAGCATATGAGACTTTGCAACTCGCTGGCAGGCGATGCTTGATCACAAGAGAGATGTAACAAACTGCAACTGCAAGGAAGCGATTATTCCATTACAATGTGTCCGAGTCGATCGATGTGCGCTGGCATGCCCGCCTGTCGCCTACCGGATCGTGACCAGCCCCGTTGCCCCCTGTCGTCGGAGACTGCCCCCCCTTAGTAGTAGCTGCTCCCACCATGATGGTCCTGTCTGGCCCCAGGATACGCGCCAGGTGGATCAGCGTGTTGTTGGCCCTTGGCCTCGTCGTCGGAGCTCAGGGCTTCGCCAAAGTCGTCGCTGCGGTCGGGCGGCGCGCGCGCGGCCTCGAGGACGCTCCGATCGAGCTCGGCGGGCTGGAATGGCTTGATGGTGTGGATCTCACGGCCGGAGGGCATTTGGGCGAGGACTGAGCCGGTCGTGGGGATTGCCTGGGTCGTGACCTGTCTTCATGTTAGGCTGGCGGACTCTGGGCTTGTGTTGCTTAGGGTCTCGCAAGATCAAGCGGGACGGAGGGGGAGCAGGAAAGCATCTGGCAATAAATATAAAAAAAAAAACTCACAAGGTCGTTGATCTTGGTCCATTTGATCTCGAGGTGCTCGATGACGCGCGTCTCTTCCATCTTGCCGCCGTCGGCGCCCCAGGCGGTCTCGCGCTCGACCTTTTTGTCCTCGCGCTTCTCGGCCCAGTCCTTGCGCAGGCGGGAGAAGCCGGCGCCGAGGGAGGACTTTTTCGCGGCGGCGGCAGCGGCGTCGGTGCGGGACTCGACGCCGAGCTCCTGGAGGGCGGCGCGGAGCCAGGCGAGGGCGGTGCCGGTCTCGCCAGCAATCTCGGCGTCAATGGCGAAGAAGCGGCAGGCGCGGGCGCGAGAGGTGCGGCGGGTGTCGTCGAGGTAGCGGAGGAGGGCGGGGTTCAGGGGCGGGACGCCGGGGAGGCGGGTGCCGCAGAGGGTGGCGGCCTGGGAGGCGTGCTCGGCGGCGGCGAGGGAGAGGCGGGCGAAGAGGTGGGCGCGGACCTTGGGCAGGGAGGGCGTGCGGTACATCCACTCCTTGTCGGCCTCGTTGCGGGTTTGCGAGACGACGGCGGGGTAGGGGTCGTCCTTGAGGACGGCGAGGAGGGTGGCCTCGGCGTGCGCCTGGGAGGCGAGGCCGCGGAGGACGGGGGCCGAGATGTCGACGCTCGGGGCCGGGTTCGAGGAGCCTTCAGCGCGCGTCGCGACGTGGTCGTAGAGCGAGGCGGCTTCTAGGAGGTGTTTTGTGGCAGTCTGGATGGCGACGGTTCGTTCCTGGGCCGAGGGCGCTGCCACCGAGGTCACGTAGAGAGGCTGCAGGGCGATGCGGCCGGCGAGGGTGTAGGCGTGGGCGAGGGTGGCGAGAACAAAGGCGACCTCGTGGTCAAGGGATTGGACCTTGACACGCGGCGGTTCGCGTCCGGGGACGTGACTGTCAGACAGGGTTGGGCGCCATTCTATGGCGAGGGGAGCGGTTTGGCTGACGGTGATCTCCGTAGCATGGAGGCCCTTTCGTGTGAGGCCTGCGTCGATGGCAAGTAGATAGGGCAGGTAGGCGTTCAGGGCGGTGATGAGCGAGGATATGTGGGGAGACTGGGCCGATGGCGGCAGTCTCTTGTGTTTCTTGAGGGCATCGCGGACGACCCCGCGGTAGGTGCTCGCAGTGAGGGGCAGCGAGGGGTGTGATTCACAGCTGAAGCTGGTGGAGAAGGAGAAGGAGGAGGTCGTCGGCAGAACAAAGGGGAACGGCATGCTGTCGAAGAAGCGAAGAATGCAGCGTCTCCAGGAAGCTGATGGCACTCGTAGATGGGATTTGATGGCGTGGTCGTGAGATGTTGATGCCGCTCTGTGCTGCCCCAGCGAACAACTCGACTCATCTCAACGACTCGAACGATTCAGATTCAGCGCCAAGAGCAGTCATGTCGGACCGTGCCTGCGCCTTGAGAGGGACTGTCTTGCATACTGTAGACCCAGGCTCTTGAGCCGTGCCCATGACGCGGAGGTTGCTGAGGGTTCACGTTTTGCTTGATCGAAAAAAATAGGGAAAAGCTCTGGCTGTTTCTGACTATGTCGAATGCCCGAGTTTTCTCTTGAAGAGCTTGCAATCCGATGTATTTAATGCCATGGTGTAGGTCTATGGTCTGTAGGCCTCACGAACAGGAGTAACAAGAGCTGAACGATAAGAAAAGCTCCGATAAGCAACTGCTGCCCACCCTTGCCACCCTCTACGTTCGGCTGTATAGTGGGGAGCTCCAGGGGCTCTTGTGCACTAAGTAGACCACTAATGGCGATCCAATTTGGGGACCTCAGACCAGGAGCTGGGCACAGAGGACCTGACCCGTACGTTGTCGTCAAATCTGGTGCCGTGGCTACCCCACGAAAGGGCAGGCAGAACAGAACAGCAGAACAGAACAGCAGAACAGAACAGACCATCACCGCCAATTCGCCTGGCTTGGTTCCCCGACAGGCACGCGACTGACACCCTCGCCTCATGCCAGCCTGAATTCAGTCTTTACCTCCCTCTTCTCGGCGACAATGACTGGTCCTTTGCCTCACAAGGCTCGCCGCAGGGGGCCTAAGAAGCCGTCGCCTACTTCGTCCCAGACGACCATCGTCAACGTCACGTCGTCCACCAAGGGCGATGCTGTGGCCAAAGCGCCGCTGTTCCCGCTGGCCTCTTTCATGTGGGCTGCGCGTGGCTCGGCTTCCGAATGGGAGGTCCTGCCTCTGATCCTCATGGTTGTCGGCCTCTTCAGGTGGGCTGCTGGTCTTTGGGGCTACTCTGGTAAGCTACCTACCTGCTCGGTGCCTTGACGCCCCGACGCGCAATCTCTCCCCACGAGGCTGTCATCGCTGACCACCAACTGTACAGGCTACCACAGGGGCCCTGTGTTCGGCGACTACGAAGCGCAAAGGAACTGGATGGAAGTGACGACGCAGGTCCCCGTCTCGCAATGGTACTTCCATGATCTGCAACACTGGGGGCTGGACTACCCTCCCCTGACGGCATACCACAGCTGGGTCTGCGGCCAGATCGGGTCTCTGATCAACCCCGTCTGGTTCACTCTCTACGTCTCGAGGGGTTCTGACGACCCCGCTCTGAAGATATTCATGCGCGCCACGGTCATTGTGTCCGAGTACCTCGTCTACATCCCAGCCGCCGTTGTCTTTGTGAGGAGGTTCAGCAGGTTCAACGGTGTCTCCAACTGGTCTGCCTCGCTTGCGCTGGTCGCCTTCCTGATGCAGCCGTCGACGATACTCATCGACCACGTGCATTTCCAGTACAACACGGTCATGCTGGGTTTCGTCCTCGCAAGCATGTCCAGCATGGTCGCCGGCCGCTACATGTGGTCCGCCGTCTTCTTCGTCGCAGCCCTTGGCTTCAAGCAAATGGCCCTCTACTATGCCTTTTCCGTCTTCTCCTATCTCCTGGGAAGCTGCGTCTTCCCCAAGGTCAACGTCGGCCGCCTGTTCGGCATCGCCTTGGTCACCGTCGTTTCTTTCGCCATACTCATCCTTCCCCTCGTCCTGGGCACCCTCTACGACGTGCGCAGAGGCATCGACTCGCGTCCTAACATTGATGGCCCGCCTCCCCCGCTACCCCTGTTTCCCCACCTCGCCGAAAAGCTCGACACCGACGCCTTCTACTACCCTCTCGTCGAGCAGCTCCTTCAGATGGTGCACCGCATCTTCCCCTTTGCGCGCGGCCTCTTCGAGGACAAGGTTGCCAACTTCTGGTGCGCCCTCAACGTCGTGGTCAAGCTGCGCAACTTTGCCCCCGAACTGCAGCAAAGGGCCGCGCTGGCGTTGACGCTGGCATCCATCATCCCAGCCAACCTTGTCCTCTTCTTCCGCCCTCGCAAGCACCTGTTGCCCCTCGGCTTCGCGGCGACCGCATGGGGCTTCTTCCTTTTCAGCTTCCAGGTCCACGAGAAGAGCGTTCTTCTGCCGCTCATGCCCATGACTCTGCTCCTCGCCGGCAAGCAGGGTCTCTCAAGGGACACACGCGCTTGGGTCGGCTTTGCCAACATTTTGGGTGCTTGGACCATGTTTCCCCTTCTCCAGCGCGTTGATCTCCGCGTTCCGTACGCCGTCCTGACCCTGCTCTGGGCCTACCTGCTCGGCCTCCCGCCGACATCGCTGAGCGCATACTTCCAGGAGGGCCAGTCAGCCTGGGTCCAGTGGGGAACAGCCCTGGTGCATGGCGTCTTCTACGTCGCCATGGCGGCCTGGCACGTCGTCGAGGCGACGGTGCGCCCCCCGATCGACAAGCCTGACCTTTGGGCTGTCGCCAACGTTGGCGTCGGCTGCGTCGGCTTTGGTCTGTGCTATCTGTGGTGCATGTGGCAGCTTTTCGCGCAAAGCGGGCAGCTACCTGTCAAGGCTAGCAGCAAGTCGAAGAAAAAGTCGTACTGAGGCTAGGTACGAAGAGCATAAGAAGTAAGGGTTTCGATGTGCACTCCCTTTTGTGATACCATTTTCTCATGTCAGAGTGTCTGGAGGGTTTGTAGGGATTAGACGAGGCCGGCAGAGTAGCATGAGCCTGCAAAGGTTCGCGACACGTATGAAGTCGCAAATAAGAAGCCATCTACACAGTGTCCATCGTTCCTAGACACATTCGTTGCATAGCTGTGATGGCGACCCCTGAACGCCCATCTGAGATGGAGGTGGTGATGGCCGCATGCTTAGTCATGATTGTCGTAGTATCTGATCGCCGTCTTTCAGGACTCAACGCCACCACGTTCGGATCCCCCCTTGACATTGAAGGTATAGTTAGTTGTAGGGTGGTTGCCATTGGCACGCAGAAGTCGAGTCTTCGTCGTTTCATAAAAGAATCGCCTCGGCATTGATATACTTGAGATCACCGTTTCGACACAGGACAGCATGGCCCCCGTCAGGGTCACCGAGTGGCGCAAGTTGCCACTGAGCCTCACAGAGCTGTGCATCGATACAACACTGCGCTGCGGCCAATCCTTTCGATGGCGGAAGATCAATGATGAATGGTTTGATGAGCACAAAAGCCTTGTAAATTTCATCCACACTTACACTTCATCAGGTGCTGCACGCTGCATGGGCGCATCATCTCACTGAAGCAAGACCCGACTCACCTTCACTACCGTTCAATCTGGCCCGCCGCAGCCCAGCGACCAACATCCGCGCCAATCGTGAAGACGGAGACCCCAGAGGACGACACGGAGGAACTGCTCAAGCACTACCTCAGTTTGAAGCTGGACCTGACGAGCTTGTATGAGCAATGGTCAGAAGCAGACGCCAATTTCCGCAAGAGGGCACCCAAGTTCGGAGGTGTCCGCATGCTGAGCCAGGATGCGTGGGAGGCCCTGATCAGCTTCATATGCAGCAGCAACAACAACATTTCCAGGATATCACAAATGGTGAGCCCCCCCCCTTTTCCCCCTCCTCTGCAGCCCCGGCAGCCATCGACCGCCCACCAAGCTGACGCGCAGCCAGGTCCACAAACTCTGTCTGCATTATGGCCCGCTCATCGGGCACATCAACGAGCAGCCCTTCCACGATTTCCCCACGCCGGAGGCCCTGACGGGCAAGCAGGTCGAGTCGCACCTCCGCGAGCTCGGGTTCGGCTACCGCGCCAAGTACATCGCCGAGACGGCCCGTGTCGTTTCCACGGAGAAGCCCAAGGGGTGGCTCGCAGGCCTGGCGAACCCGGCGCACCCGAATTTCCGCGCCGCGTCCGAGGCCGAGGACGAGAAGATGCTGCCGCCACCGACGACGTACAAGGAGGCGCACGAGGCGCTGCTCGCCCTCGCTGGCGTGGGTCCCAAGGTGGCGGACTGCGTGTGTCTCATGGGCCTTGGGTGGGGGGAGGCCGTGCCGGTGGACACGCACGTGTGGCAGATTGCGCAGAGGGACTACAAGTTTGGCAAGAGCAGGACGAAGACGTTCAGCAAGGTCATGTACGATGCGGTGGGAGATCACTTTCGGCAGCTGTGGGGGGAGTATGCGGGGTGGGCGCATTCCGTCTTGTTCACGGCCGATCTCAAGACGTTTGAAGGGAGGGTGGCCAAGAAAGAAGAGGATGATGAGACGTTGGTGGTGAAGGGGGAGGCTGGCGAGGATGCGATTGTAGAGGTTAAGCGGGAAGTCGTGGAAGATGAGGCGTCCCTGCCTTTGACGGGTAAGAAGCGCAAGACTGTCCAGACGAAGGTCAAGATTGAGGTTGAGGAAGCGGGAGATGCACACCCAAAACGGAGGAGGACTCGGTCTCAGAAGGCAGTGTGATTTATTTCAGGATAACTTTGTAAAAAGCGATACCCATCTCTCGTACAGAACCATGCTTGAAAATTAGCATGCTTCGATAAAAGGACCTGATGGGCAAAGGGCCACCAAGCTGCCCAGCTGGGTTTGAGATTGAGGTGTGTCGGCTAAATGTCGGCTGAGTCGCGAGATGCGTTTGGTAAAGCTCTGCGCGACCCATCAAACCTGATGCGCTTGGCCGTCCCTAATCCCAACGTCGCCCTTCAGCCCGCCCCCCCTCGATACGCTCGACAACCCATCACCATCTCCATCCATCAACTCTGCTTCCGATCAAGCCTTCACTGATGCACTCCTGCAGCATCGTTCGATATCCTCCAACCCCTCAAGATATGACACAAGTAAACCCTTGAGCAAGATGTCTGACTCGGACTTCGAGACGATCCGCCAGCTCCAGGCCGAGCGCAACGCTGCCGCTGCCGCCAAAAAAGGCTCTAACGCCTTCGACCCTTCTAACCAGCGCCCCGACACGGTCAGCACCAAGCAGAAGCTTACCGACACCGTTGACACCGATCTCTATGATGCCAACGGCGCCGATAAGTTTGCTGGCTATGCCACCTCTATTCCTACCGGCATCAACGGCGACGATGACGACGACGACATGAACGGCGTCGACAATACGCGCCGCCTCGTCGGCCAGTATACTGCCTCTCGCGACATGCTCGACGAGTTCTCTCGCGGCGATGGCGTCGAGGAGGAAGACGTGCTTGCTGGCCGCGGCGAGAAGAGCAACCGGATCACCGATCGCGAGACCGACTATCAGAAGCGCCGCTTCGACCGCGTCCTCACCCCCACCCGCGCGGACCCTTTTGCCGCAAACCGTCAAGCTGGCGCCGCCGAGGGTGGCTCGACCTACCGCGATGTCATGGAGGCAAAGGAGCTCGAGCGCGAGGAGGAGCGCGTTCGCCGCGCCATCCTGGACAAGGCCGAGGGCAGGGTCGAAGATGGCAACACGGCTCCGGCAACCCTGACCAACGGTGACGACAAGGAGAATGGAGACTCTGGATCGACTGAGCTCGCTGCTGCCGGGCGCAAGAGGAAGAAGAGATGGGATGTTTCATCCACTCCCACAGACGACGCGGCTGCCGCCCAGCCTGATGGTGCCGTCAAGAAGCGATCCCGGTGGGATCAGACGCCCGCCCCTGGCGCTGAGGTTGTCAAGAAGTCGTCTCGCTGGGACCAGGCTCCTTCTGCCACCCCGATGGGCAACCAAGGACTGGCTACGCCCATGCACCCTTCGCAAGCCGGCGGTGCCATCTTGCCGACCACCTTTGGCCCCGACATGTCTGGCCGTAACATGCCGCTCAGCGACGAGGAGCTTAACGAGCTCCTTCCCGGAGAGGAGCAGGGCTACAAGATCCTCGAGCCCCCTCCCGGCTACGCTCCGCTTCGCGCCCCAACCCACAGGCTTGTGGCAACGCCTGCTCCGCAGAGCGGCTTCACCATGCAGGATCCTGATGCGGTCAGGCTTAGCGGCAAGCCTGTACCGGGAGAAATTCCCGGCATTGGCGACCTTCAGTTCTTCAAGGCCGAAGATATGGCCTATTTCGGCAAGCTTACCGACGGCGCCGACGAGAACGATCTCAGTGTGGAGCAGATGAAGGAGAGGAAGATCATGAGGCTGCTCCTCAAAGTCAAGAATGGTACACCACCAATGCGCAAGACTGCTTTGCGACAGCTCACAGACAATGCTAGGCAGTTTGGAGCTGGTCCACTCTTCGACCAGATTCTGCCCCTCCTCATGGAAAAGACTCTGGAAGACCAGGAACGCCACCTGCTCGTCAAGGTCATCGATCGTATATTGTACAAGCTCGATGACCTTGTTCGGCCCTATGTGCACAAGATTCTCGTCGTCATTGAGCCGCTGCTCATCGACCAAGACTACTATGCCAGAGTGGAGGGTCGTGAGATCATCTCCAACCTCAGTAAAGCCGCTGGTCTCGCCACCATGATCAGTACCATGAGGCACGACATCGATCATACCGATGAGTACGTCAGAAACACCACCGCCCGAGCCTTCGCCGTCGTGGCCTCGGCGCTCGGCATTCCAGCTCTTCTTCCTTTCCTGAGAGCCGTCTGCCGAAGCAAGAAGCAATGGCAGGCGCGACACACGGGTGTCAAGATTGTGCAGCAGATTCCCATTCTTATGGGGTGCGCCGTTCTTCCTCATCTGAAAGGCCTTGTGGACTGCATCGCCCCCAACCTGAATGATGAGCAGACCAAGGTCCGCACCGTCACCAGTCTGGCCATCGCCGCCCTCGCCGAGGCATCGAACCCCTACGGTATCGAAAGTTTCGATGACATCCTCAACCCCCTCTGGACAGGCGCGCGAAAGCAACGAGGCAAGGGTCTTGCTGGCTTCTTGAAGGCTGTTGGCTTCATCATTCCCCTCATGGACGAGGAATACGCCAACTACTACACGAGCCAGATCATGGAGATTCTCCTTCGAGAGTTCTCCTCACCAGACGAAGAGATGAAGAAGGTAGTGCTCAAGGTGGTGTCCCAGTGTGCAGGTACCGATGGTGTCACCGCGGGCTATCTCAAAGAACACGTCCTCGACGATTTTTTCAAGAGCTTCTGGGTCAGAAGGATGGCCCTCGACAAGCGCAACTACAGACAAGTGGTTGAGACCACGGTCGACATTGGCCAAAAGGTCGGTGTCAGCGAGATCATTGAGAGAATCGTTGTCAACCTGAAGGATGAGAGCGAAGCATACCGCAAGATGACGGTAGAGACGATTGAGAAGATCGTTGCGAGTCTGGGTGCTGCCGATATTGGCGAGAGACTCGAAGAGCGACTCATCGACGGCATTCTGCACGCATTCCAGGAGCAGAGCGTCGAGGACATCATCATGCTCAATGGCTTTGGCTCCGTCGTCAATGCACTGGGCTCCCGGTGCAAGCCATACCTCCCACAAATCGTCAGCACCATTCTCTGGAGACTGAACAACAAGTCAGCCACTGTACGACAGCAGGCAGCTGATCTTATCTCGCGCATTGCTATGGTCATGAAGCAATGCGGCGAAGACGCGCTCATGGGTAAACTTGGTGTCGTGCTCTACGAGTACCTGGGCGAGGAGTACCCGGAGGTTCTTGGTTCCATTCTAGGCGCCCTTCGATCCATCGTTACCGTCGTTGGTATCACACAGATGCAACCGCCCATCAAAGACCTACTCCCCCGTCTCACCCCCATTCTTCGCAATCGACACGAGAAGGTCCAAGAGAACACCATCGATCTCGTTGGTCGTATCGCTGATCGTGGCCCTGAAAGCGTCAATGCACGAGAATGGATGCGAATCTGTTTCGAGCTCCTTGACATGCTGAAAGCCCACAAAAAGGGTATTCGTCGTGCGGCCAACAACACTTTCGGTTTCATCGCCAAGGCCATCGGCCCCCAGGATGTTTTGGCTACTCTGCTCAACAACCTGAGGGTGCAAGAGCGCCAGTCTCGTGTCAACACGGCTGTCGCTATTGGTATCGTGGCCGAAACCTGCGCGCCTTTCACCGTCCTGCCCGCTCTCATGAACGAGTACCGTGTTCCCGAACTCAATGTTCAAAACGGTGTACTCAAGTCACTCTCCTTCCTTTTCGAGTACATTGGCGAGATGGCCAAGGACTACGTTTACGCTGTCACACCACTGCTCGAAGACGCGCTCATCGATCGCGACCAGGTCCACCGACAAACAGCTGCGTCCGTTGTCAAGCACATTGCGCTCGGCGTGGTTGGCCTCGGCTGTGAGGACGCTATGATCCATCTTCTTAACCTTCTCTACCCGAACTTGTTCGAGACGAGTCCACACGTCATTGATCGCATCGTCGAGGCTATCGAGGCTGTCCGCATGGCTGTCGGACCTGGTGTCGTGATGAACTATGTCTGGGCGGGTCTCTTCCACCCGGCACGCAAGGTACGCCAGCCCTATTGGCGGCTGTACAACGATGCGTACGTCCAGGGCGCGGATGCCATGGTACCATACTATCCCAACCTCGACGAAGACAAGATGGACAGGCCAGAGTTGGCTATCATGCTTTGAGCGAAGCGAAATCAAGGGCTGTACTAGGGAAAAATATGGGTTTTCTTTGCGGGATGGGGTGGCAGGAAACTTGTGGTTTGGCGCATGGAAGCCATGCATTCATTGTAATACTCTCCTGTGTAGGTAGAAGCTGAGGAGGAAAGGACAGCATCCCGCGACGGCGTCTGGGGGATGCAATTGACTTTTTTTTTGGGATAGCACAGATTGTTGTGTGCGAAATATGCTTGTGAACTATGAATGAATTGGGTTCTGTACTTGGTGTACCTGTGGCCGTCTCGCATCTCGCATCCTTCAAATCGGATGGAAGTAAAAGCTCTAGGCTGAATCGTGCTTATCACTCATGATAATTCCGCCACCATCAGGGCCAGTCCATAAACCGTTGGCTTTTTAAGCGACCTAGTCTCATATGGTGCCTGATCAAAGAGGTCGCAGATTCCCTGTGTCTGACGCCAGGGCAGACCGCGGCAAGTGCGTGTGCAGTGCCAGATCTCCGCTGCAGCCTCAGCCTTTTCACCCTGGCAATCGTAGTTTTGGAAGTTGGTCTCTGTTTCGTCCCTCTATTTCGCCTTGGCCTGTTGAGCGGCTGCTTCTAAAAGGGATGTCAGCGATCCACAATATCGTAAGCCGGCAGAAACTAAACCTACCCCTCCGTGTCGCATCCTCCAGCAGCGGCACATCTACAGACGCAGCAGGAAGATGAACATAGCGCACAACTGAGCCACGAATGAAGACATTCTTGACGGAACTCTGCGGTGGCCGGTTAGCAAGTGGACACTCTTGCCTGACACACATGCTGTGCCTTGGCCTATGCTCTTCTCGCGAAGGAAGGCAGAAACAGCGGGTGAGAGGGGTTCTAGGCGACGAACCAGGTGCGGGTACTTCAGCTCCTCGACGACTGAGATGTCCTCGAGCTTGATGTTCAGGTACTGGTCGACGCTCTTGAGCGTGCCGCGGATCTGAATGTCGTTCTTGAGCTCGATGGTGACCTCATGGTCGATGAGGGTTTTGAAGAAGCTAAGGGGTCGCGTCAGTGACTGTTTCGTGCCGATTTCACATGCTCTGATCCGGCGTATGAGGCTCGATGCCTACCTGAAGAACAGCATCTTGTCCTGGCGTTTTGGTGGTGAGCTGGAATACGGTGACGATGAGCTTGGATGAGCTTTGAGTGTCGTGATGCTGGGGCTGTATTGAGGTGACCCGCTCGTTGGTGTTGTGGGGTACGTACCTCGACGAGAAAATCACGTGAGCACGCGCTGCGTTGTATGTGGTCTCGGTGTAACTCGGTGTGCATGGAATGGGTGATGGGGAGGGACGCAGCCATCTCCTTGGGTGACATGGCATAGATTGTATACCCTTTTCTGTGCTTCTATCACAACGCGATTTTGAGATTCTCATCTTGATCCTCTAAGCCGGATTTGATTTACATTCAATGGATATCCTTATGACACCTGTACAAACGCCCTTTTCCGCACAACCTTGCTGTCGTTGTCCTCATCCCATGTCTCGTCAACATAATCCTTGACACTCTTCGCCTGCAATTGCATGCCGACAACCTTCAGTGCGGCAATGTTGTAGCCCATCTCGTTCTTCTGCTTCCTTAGTGCCGCCCTCAGGTTCGCCCGTATGCCATCCAGCATGGTCCTCATCGTACGGCTCGACACGATCTGCCTGTGGTGCGTCTTGAGCATGAAGAACAGAATGCGGCAGGTCAATGGCATGTTCATGGAACGCTGCGCGAATAGGTCGAGGAAGGTAAAGAGCATGGGGACAGTGGAGAAGGGCAGCACAAGAAGCGCGTCATGGAGTGCGGAGGCTTTGATGCGCTGCAGCACAGACATGACGTGCGTCTCGGCACTGATGTTGCCGAGAGCAACGAAGATGACATTGCGCTGTGGTGGCTGCGCATGCGGATTCGTCAACTTGGCCTGCTCATACTCCTTGAGCAGGTTGAGATCCGCCATGCCCAGCTCAAGGGCCTCGGCGATGCGCTCACCGGCCATGAGCGTCTCGACCGTCTGCTTGGTCGCCGCGCCGACCTCGCCGTTGGCATCCTCCGCGTCAGGATCCCGTTCGAGCGAGCCCGTGAGGGTGCTCTCGTAAAGCTCCTCCAGCTCCTTCTCGCGCTCTTCCTCGAGGAAGATCTGCTCGTCCGTCTCGTCCCACACGCGGATGCTCTTGTCGTGTCCTGCGCTGACGAGGGTCCTGCCGCTGTGGCTGACGGCCATTGCCCAGACCTCGCCGTGGTGGCCGTCCAGCCTCTGAATCTGCTCAAACTTGTCGCCGTCCCAGTACTTGATGCACCGGTCCTTGCTGGCGCTGAAGAAGTGGTGACCGTTGCCATCTGAATTATGAGGGACAAAGGCAACTTGCAGGATACTGTCTTGGTGACCAAAAAGTGCCTTGTGGCAATCGCCAAAGTCGAGGCCCCATATCCTGATATTCTTGTCGGCAGAACTAGTAATGATGAGCTTGCTGTCGTAGGAGATGTCCATACTCAGCACGGGGAGCTTGTGACCGTAAAGGTTGAGGTAGAGCTTGAGCTTGAGACTGTCGACAAAGAAGACCTTCACCGTGCTGTCAAGGAGTGAAACAGCCAGAAGCTTCGCGTCGGGAGAAAACTTAAGGCTGAGAATATCGTCCGCAACCTTCAGTATCCTCGACTGGGCAAGTTTCAGCTTGGGTGTTGTGCGGGTGGTGCCCAAGATCTCCTCCTGAACAATCTGGAAGTTCCAGAATTTCGCCGTCTTGTCTGCGCTGCCAGACACCATGGACTTGCCGTCAGGATGAACCTGGAGAGACCAGATGGCACCTTCGTGGGCCGTGACGCTGTCCAGAAGGCTGGCCGAGGCGACATCGAAAAGCTCCAACTCGCCTCCTTTGGTGCCAACCACTACAACCTTGTCTCCTGGAAGGAAAGAACAGCACAGCGCATAGCCGCACTCGAAGGTGCGGATGCATGTCTGTGTCTTGATATTCCAAATCTTGAGGCTCCCGTTCGACGCCGAAGCCAGCATCTTGTCGTCAGAACTCAGCGACACAGAGCGCACATCTGTCCTGTGTCCTGGAAGATCAACGGAAAGAGATCGTGTGTAATCCGGAGTGTCCTCCTTCTTCGCCTTGCCAGAATCTTTAGTGGGAATGCTGTAGTACTCCAGCTGGTTGTTGGTGGTGCCGACGACGAGTTGAATGGACTTGCTGCCGCTGCCGACAGCCCAGTCGACCGAGCGGACCTTGCCGCCAGTTCGTACGATCACGTACTGGACAAAGTAATCGCTGGCCTCGGCACTAGAGAGATCATCGGCGGCGTCGGCTGCATCGCCCATCTCCTCATCCTCCGTCTTTCCATCCTTGGCCTTCTCTCTTCTCCTCTTCTTCTTGCGTGCCAAAGACTTCTTTACCTCGGCCTCTGATCGAACGCGCCAGACTTCAGTCGACTTCTCGGAGCCGTGAACCGCAAAGTAGTCGCGCTTTGGGTGGAAAACGACTTCGGTAGCCCTGTCCTTGCTCTGGCGGAACAATGTTCCGCGGTCCTGCACAAAATTTACTGACTGCGGAGCGTCTACACGACCCTTCATCGAGGCCAGGCCGGCAGTGTCGATGAACCAAACCTTCAGCTCGCCGTCGTTTCCAGCAGTCACACATCCGTTGTAATCTGGTGACAAACCTAGCGCCCAGCACTCGCCGTTGGACTGGGCAATGTGCGTTTCGATACAGTGCCGCGACGACAGGTCCCAAAGCTTAATCAAGGAGTCCTTGCCGGTCGTCAAAAGATAGCCTTCGGCGTTGTCGCTGTCCAGGGCCATAGCTTGCACATCCTCGTCGTCGTCGGGCTGCGCCTCAGGCTCAACAAATCGAAGACCGGTGATTTGATCCTTGTGACCTCTCAGTTTGTACTGGCCGACTTCAGCGACAAGATCCCAAATGATGACATCCGTGTCTTTGCTTCCACTGGCCAGTCTGACACCAGCCTTATCGAAGGCTAGATGTGTGATGGCAGAAGAATGGCCCTGGAAGTTGACAATGACCATCGCAATCTTGCTGTCCCAGAGCCGAATACTGCCGTCTTCGTAGCCCACGGCGTACACATCCTTGTCGGCTTTGCTTTGCGCAATAGCAGTGACGGGCAGCGTGCATTTTTCGTCTCTCCACCTGCTCAGCAACTCTCCCTTTTTGATGTCCCAGCTCAAAACTTCTTCATTGGCGGCAACGACGACCTGGCCGGCGCCTGTGCCATTGCGATCTTTGGACGTCCATACGAGGTTCGAGGTACTCGATGCGACAACACCGAACGACTTGGTGTGTTCGTATTTCCTGTGAAGATGGTTGTGTCAGTGGACCGTCAAGACAACGTCAGTCTGAGCCACTCACAAGTATGACTTGACCATCTTGCCGACTCTCCTGCGCACTGGAGAATGTCAATCGCACTATGGTGGAGGGCGCCGTCTTTGAACCTGATCCTCAAATTCTCCCGCCGCCAGAAGCGGGAAACTTTTTCTTATCGATAAGAGATCGATCTTCAAAGCTCCGATAAGCTTGACGACATCACGTGTGGATGTACCGATGTATCCGCCAGCCACAGCCACGAAGCTCCAACAGCCAGAGAGCCCCACCATCGGTCCAAGGCATCGTCATTCGCAACCGCATCAACACGAACGAACGAGTAGGTGGCCACGCAGCACCGGCAAGATGCTTCTCCTCGATTACCAGAATGTCCTCATTCAGTCCGTGCTGACCGAGAGGTTCTCTGGGTGAGCAATTCCTCCCTATGGACGAGTCGCAATCCTTCCGGCTGACTCGAAGACGCAGTGCCCCTCCCGCCCACATCGACCAGACGGTGTCCGACTTCGACGGTGTCATCTACCACATCTCGACCCCCGAGACGAAGACCCAGATCCTCCTTTCCGTTCACATCCGGTGCTTCAAGGACCTTGTGCAGTACGGTGCCGAGCAGGTGCTGCAGAGGGAATATGAGCAGTTTGTCGTTGCGCCCGAGGCGGGCTACGACTTCTCCGTCCTTATTGACCTCGAGAAGCTTCCCGCTGAACAAGGTTCGTCACAGCCAAGCTCCATTCTAGCATTCAAGAGCTGACGAGCCGACAGAGGAGCGCGATGCTCTCGTTCACAAGTTCGCCATGCTGAAGCGCAACGCCATGGCTGCGCCATTCGAGGCCGCGTACGATGAGCATTATAAGCTGAAGGAAGAGGCGTCGAAATACACCTCTGAGGATGCGCCTCAGGGCGTCAAGGAGGGCGGTGCTATTAAGGCGATTCATTACCGCGAAGAGGAGGCCATCTACATCAAGGCCAGTCACGACCGAGTAACCGTCATCTTTAGCACCATCTTCCGCGAGGAGACGGACCGTGTGTTTGGCAAGGTGTTCATCCAGGAGTTCGTCGATGCTCGTCGTCGGGCTATTCAGAATGCGCCGCAGGTCCTGTTTAGGAACGATCCTCCCCTGGAACTGCAGGGCGTGCCCGGCGTGAAGGATTCCGGGTCCGGCGAGATCGGATACGTCACCTTTGGTCAGTGTGCTCACCAACAGGATACCTGCTACTTTGCTGACCGATTGCAGTTCTCTTCCCTCGCCATCTTACTCAGCAACGGATGCCCGAGGTTATCTCTCACATTCAGACGTTCCGAGACTATTTCCACTATCACATCAAGGCATCGAAGGCTTATATTCACTCCCGTATGCGCAAGAGGACTGCAGACTTCCTGCAAGGTATGAGATCCATGTATGTGTGCAATCAGGGCTTCGCCGCTAACAAGAATCGTCAGTTCTCCGGAGAGCTCGTCCGGACGCCGAGGAGAAGGAGAGGAAGACGGCAAGCGGCAGGACGTTCAAGGTTTCGGGTGCTTAGGCTCCATGATGCCGGCGAACCAGGAGGCGGCTGTCTTTGGGACTTTCCAGATAACAGGGCAGGTAGGTATAGTGAAGACCGTGACCCTCGTGGGGTGTAAAGAGCGACATGACGTAGTGACGTGGCCTTCTCATTTAAACTAAAAGAATCAAATCAAACACTTGAAGTTCTTTGCAAGTGATCTGCAGATATCGTGTCCCTGCGCTCGCCTGGAGAGGTCGCAGGGCAACAAAGGGGGTTGGCTGTAGTGGTACCAATGAAACGCATTGCAGGTCTGGGTGTTCGAGGGGATGAGATATGCCCTGGACACACTGGGCCTCTTCCCAGCCTCTGTTATGGTGTTGATTGGCTCAGTGTATGGCCTGGCCCTTATATTTGGTTAATCACCTTTACTACCTTGGTCAAAAGTTACATCCTTGCAACCGATTTAATACCTTCACAAATACTGCCTCTGAGTCGTCCGTGTACCGACCCTCAGGTAGAAAGGGAACTCATCCAATAATCACCGCCATGAAGCATCTCGGCCAGGACAGGTGTGATGGGCGAAGGGTTATTCTTGGATGCGATGGCTTCTGTCGAATTCGTTGGGATCACTCCTCCGACTCACCAGTCTTGAAAACTTAGGTTGCCAGTGGCGAGCCACACAGCTTGATATTGTACAAAATCTCGGAAAGTATACCAGTCTCTCACACGCGGGTGCGGCATGGAAACAATACCATCAGACCAAGCGAACATAGTAGTCACCTGCTCATCAGGTCAAGGTCCATATTTGTGCGCGGGTTGATGAACTTGCCACCTCGTCGGGGGGTGATAAGCGCAGCCCGGGGCAATGTCAGTAGACACAAGCAAGGCACTTGGTGCGAGGGAATGTTCGGACAGCGGAACATTGGTCATAATAGTCGATCCCACTTACAACAGATGTTCCAATGTGGAGACCGATGCCCTGGTTTCTCAACCATGAATCTATCTGGTGCAGCTTGTGACATGCGCATGGTCCCTACCAAGAACGAGCCTCGTCGACATGACCGTCCCTGACTAGGCGCAATGAGACTCCAAGGCGCGATTGAATCATACGGACTATTTGTCAATCATCATGAGGTGCTCGCGAGAAAGGGCCTCGTGTTCCAACCGGCGGCGACACTGGCCGTGTTTGACGAGCAGTGGATTAGCCCCTTGATTTTGATTTGGGGAGGGGAGAAGGGCTGGGGTTAGTGTCGCCGCTTTAAAGAGCATGTACGGGAGCTTGCTACCCACCTTAGGTACAGAGAGAGGTACTGTAGGTACCTACCTTGGTAGGTAGGTACGTTACCCGTGTAAGGCTGATGGCGCAAACTCAAATCACACAGCTTTCTCAAACTGCGATGGAGGATTTGGAAACTAATTTTCAACGTCAAGCAAGGAGTACGCTCCGCTGGATTTTGTACATGACGATTGTCGTCAGTGTAAGTAAATCTATGTACAAGAAGGATCGACGCTCCCCCTACGCTGTAGCACCAGTGACGGTGAAGGAGTAGCTCAAGCCCTGCGACACCTCGCTGCTCAGGTTAAAAGGGTCGAACAGAACCAAGGCCTCGGGCGTGTTCGCGATCACGAGGCTGACTTCCTCGCCGGCCTCCACGGCAACAGAGCCGGCACCGTCGACGACGACGTAGCGCGTGCCAGCGGAGCCGCTGTAGACGACGAGCGTGGCAGTGTAAGCGCCGGTGGCGGAGATGTCTACGGAGACGGTGCCGGCGCCGGACGTGGTTAGGGGGATGATGTTGGCACCCATGTACTTGGGGGCGCGCGCGGCCTTGACGGTGTACCGGTTGGTGCCGCTCGCGTCGACGTTGGCGTAGTTCAGGCTGCGGCGCTGGGCAAGGAAGAGCTCCTGGGCGGATGGGTGGCCGATGTCGACGTAGGCCATGCGGGCCCAGTAGCGGCCGACGATGGCGCTCACCGAGGTGTTCGCGGACACGCGGGCGAGGGTGTGGAGGGGCGTCTCGTCGCTGTTCTCTTCGTACTGCAGCATGAGCTGGCGCAGCGTGTCGGAGCCGAGGCCGGCAAACCCGTCCGGGTTGTTCGTGAGGTAGGTGAAGAAGGGCCAGGCCTCGTAGTAATTGCCCGAGCCGGCGGTGCCGTCGACGAGAACTTGGAAGGAATCGCCGATGGTCTTCTGGAGGTTAATCTCGGTCTGCGATGCGGACTGGCCGTTCTGGGTGCGAGCATCGGCGCAGAGTTCGGACGTCTTGTACGTGTCGGCGAACCAGTTGGCAAAGGTCTCCCACCAGGCGCCGGTGCGGGTCTGGTGCACCCAAGTGCGCTGGTGATAGTGCAGGGCGTGGCCGTATTCGTGGATCGTGACGCCAGGAATGGTCAGGAAATCGTGCAAGACCTCGACATAGCCCAGACCACGCTCAGGATCTGAATGCATGACACCGGCAGCGCCTCCGCTCAGCGCGGGCACGGAGTAAATGTTGGTCTTGTAGTAGGGGCCGTCGTCGGATCCAGGGTTATACGATAGGCCGGTGGATCTGAAGTTGAGAGTCTCAACAAAGCAACTGAAGGCCCCTTCGAGCATGGCAAGGGCTTCATCTGCGGCGTTGGCGTTTCCATAGATGCGGAAGTGAGCTGAGTCCTTGAAAGTGCTGCCGCCGGGCCCGACATCTGGGTTGGCTGTGAAGGTGGCCGGAGGCGCGGCAGCGCCAGCAACAGGAGTAGCCTGAGGAGCAGCCTGGCTGCCAGTAATGACCTGCAGGAGGACCGCGGTGATCAAGTACTTGGATCGGGTCATGATGATGAATGCAAAGAAAGAGAGAAGACTTGCTGTGGGAAAAGAGCAACTGTTGGCGTTCAACGAAGAAGCGTACAGCCCGGATCAGGACACACAGGCGAGCCTGCCATAGTTATAGACGTCCCATCGTGACAAACCTCTTTCAATGCCTGCTCGTCTGTGAGGTAGGAGAATCCGGGGTATACAAATCACGCCGTTTTGAGTGCCGGAGACTAACGAGCCAGGCAATATACTCGACGCGATACGGCATTGGCGCTCCAAGCATAAATTTCTCCGGCGCTCGGGGTATCTGCCGAGCAGACTTCAGATTGGTCAGTCTCAGCTTCCATGTGCAAGACTGATTGATAAAGAGGGCGTGAGATCGTCGGAATTCATCTCGAAGAGGGAGGTCGTGGGACAGATTGGCTCCATGGGGACCCGGACTTGTTTTCTCGTAACCTGACTCGGGAAGCCACTCCGTTGGCCTCTGCAAAAGCGTCTGCCGGTGCAACAGAGCAACATTTTAAGAGGGACACGGAAGGCCAGATGCTTGGCGTGCTAAGTTGACGATCTGAGCGTAGGGGCTCCTTTCATCTGGGCTAGCCGACCGACCTCGTGGTGGTGGTGGACCTCGCAATCCAGTCTAATCCACCTAGCATCAAGACAAAGACAAAGAACCATGCGACGTGGACTTCCGTTGTATGTCTTTGTTTCCAACGCACGTTGTTGAGGAAATAACCTGTCCAAGGCTGAAAGCAGCCGAAGTGGCCCATGTGTTTTTACGCTGTGAGTTATAGCCTATAGGTGCTGGACAGATGGAATAGCACCCCGCATCACTCGAACCATTTCATGTGTCGATCCAAGGAACGATCGTCTCGAAACGTTCTGTCTGGTGTGTTTGGCATCAGCCAGATGAAGCAGCAGAACTTCCTGATGCACAGCAATGCGCTTCGCTGTGAAGAAAGGGCAAGGCGTTGTCTGGTGGCCAAGGAATCGTTGGAGAAAGGGGCTCGAAACAGAACACCAAAATCCATCGACGTAAAAGCAGCAACGAGGCTAATCCTGATCGGGATAACAACGTCAAAGGTCCTGGTGACCTCGAGATAAATGGGCAATAATTGAGAATTCAAGGAAGTCCAAGATGTGCGAGTCGAGTGCCCACGGACCCTTGGTTGGCCTGAGTCTTCTTTGCCCATCGGACCACAGGACAAAAGTAGAGAGAAAGGGTTTTTTTTTCATCATTTTTTTTGGTCACCGTCCGCGGTGTGCTCGGCGCCCCTGGCGCTCGCATGGTGCATGCACTGATGGTGTAGTGTGCACTATGGGGACCATCATCACAGCGCGTGCAAACCCGCTGTCTGCAACAAGGATGCGCGAGGCAGGGGATGGGGATGGGGGCTGGACTGAAGAACAAGGTGACAAAGTACAGTTGCAGCAGGATGGTCCCCCGTTTCCCCCACTGTTTGATGCAGCCATGGCGAAGGTCGATGCGCCGTGATGGACCCTCAGACGCAGGCACAGACAGGATGCAACTTGGTGTCGTGAATTCCATGTTTCGCTGCTGGGCTTTTGCTGCTGGGCGTTTGCTGCTTGGAGAAGGACAGCAGCGGGGGCCGGTCTCGAGAGCCTGACCTCACAACTCCCAGCCTCACCACCGCCTGTTCCTTTAGGCCTGTGAAGAAGAGGCTGCGCGCCTTTTCGTGTTCCCTGTGCGTGACTTGGCAGTGCTCCTCTGCTTCCTTCCTTCCCCGACCCCCCTACCTGGGATGCGACTCGCGGCAGGCGATCAAGAAGCACCTCTGACGCCTGGCTGTGCTCAGTTCATCGGGATTTCGTGAACCGACGAGAACCCCCCGCCGTTCGGTCCCTGGCACTCACTTTCCAGGCGGCATCCGAAACACCAGCCCGTTGTCGCAACGAGACATGGTACAGGTTTCTTTCGCTTTCGCACCCATTTCTGAAGCAAGGAGACGATCATCTTGGAACACCTTGACACCTTCGGACAAACTGCATCGTCCAGGGCACGAACAAGTCGAATAGTCGAACAAGTCGAATAGTCGAACAAGTCGAATAGTCGAACAAGTCGAGTTCGTCGAGCCTAGGAGCTCTCTCTAGCGTGCTAGCGTGCCACAACTTGATGCAGTGCGATGCATTACTATGTACAACAGCTCAACCTCAACATACGAGACTCGTCTTACGAGACTCGTCCTAAAGAGCGCAGCAAAGAGGGGCAAGGCAATTGAAGCTGCCCAGGGATATCGATGCAGAGCCAGCCACGTTTGTGTTCTCAAGGTTGCCCTCGCATTGAGACATTGGCGTCACTTTCACGATCCCTCTGTAACGCGGTACTTGTGAGCACGCTCCTCTCCCACCACGCCACGCCAATCCGCATCGAACACTGGACGATCCATCGAAATCCAGCTTTCATCTCATCTGACCTACGGCCCAATCATTGGAACGAGCGTCGAAGAATAGACCAGCCCAAGCCATCGGACTAAAAGCGCGGGCCCTGACCAGACGAGGCCTAGAGCGCCCACTGTCCTGCAAGCCTGCAAGCCTGCAAGCCTGCGAGCCTGCGAGCCTGGAAGCCTGCAGCCATTGTAGAGAAAAGTGGAGTCTGGGCACCACGCTCCTCCCCCCTAATCCCTTCCCTATCCCCCCTCACCAGCCAATCACCGCAGGTAACGTCAGTGGTCACTGCGCCGAGCAACTGAGGTGCGCCAATCTCATCTCCCAGCCCACCACTTCCCGTGCCAGCCGTCGCACTGCCTCCACTCTCGCTGTGCCTGCTGCCCAGCGTGTCTGGTCTGTCGCCCTTCTCCCTCAACACCAACCACCACACCAAACACACCAAAGTCTTGTTCTCTGCTGTCGACGAAGAGACACTCGTCGACTCCAGCATCGACTCTGGCGTCGAAGAAAAAGAAAAGAGACTAGCCGAAAATCTCTCTCGCGACGGTCATTCGATTCTTCCTCTTCATCATCGCAGGCGTAATTTCGAGGACCTGATCCTCTCACACTCGTTACCACAACCGCCGACCGCCTCGCTCCTTCCTCGCCCGCTCCTTCTCACCGACCAGCCAAAGGCTGCGACGACTCTTCTATCCTCAATTGCCATGCACGGTACTCTTCGACTCTGAACCAGTCACAAATGCACTACGAAGGAAAATCTTCGTCAACGTAATACCCACACCGTATTTTTCTCACTACCACCCAATTCGAATCCCTGGCCTCGACGACAACAAAGACGAGCGCGCGATATCCGCCCACACAACCACGATGCGGTCGCCTTTTCGGAGGCGCCCTTCGACGCGGCGGCCTCGTTCGCCAACCTCGGCTGCTTTGTTCGCCATGGCAGCAGCAGCAGCAGCAGCGCCCTGCCTCGTGTCGGCCTTGGAATTCAAGGAAGTGCCTGAATCGAACCTCGACCTCTCTCAGCTTGGAAGGATAGGCTTGGCCGGAAGCTTCAACGGAATTTCCCTCTACGAATTCGAAGGCCAAAACGAGTTGCCGCTCAGCACCAATGGCAGCGAGGCGCTTCTCGCAAGACTACCCAACGGCGCATTCGCATCAGTAGCATCAACCGATGCCTCGATCCACGACATGTGTGCATCTTTGCTCGACTCAGGGGAGATGGCGGGAGTGGTAATAGCCGGTAATTTTACGAGCGTCGATGGCACCCCTTCTCAGGGCGTCGCCCTGTTCAACACGACGTCTTCCCAATTCGTTCCCCTCGACGGCCTGTCGGGACAGGTCAACGCCTTGCTCTGTGACGAGAAGAACAACATGGTCTACGCTGGCGGCAACTTCCGCCACGCAAACTCGACAACCAACGCCATCGCTTGGGTCCATGGCCAAGGGTGGACACCGCTTCCTTTCGCGGGGTTTAACGGCCCAGTCTCCTCCATTACCAAGGCGTCCAACGATCACATCATCTTTGGAGGAAGCTTCACGGGACTTGGCAACACCAGCACGCCAACCACGCCAGATGGTCAGATCATCAACCTGTCGGGCGCTAACGTCACGGCCGCCTCCAGCAGCCGCACTACCGGCTTCAGCGACCCCCGCAACATCTTGTGCAAGACAAACGGCGCCGGCGGTGCGGGTAACAGCTGGCTCCTCGAGGATGGCTCGCCCGGCTTCTGGCGCGCTCAGTTCAGCTTCGGCTTCGAGCCCACCAAGTTGCGCCTGTGGAACACTCGCCAGGATGGCCGCGGCACCCGGACCTGGCGCTTCACGGCCTTCCCCATCAACGGTATCCTCAACATGACATACGTCGACCCTGCGACCGGCCAGAATGCTACATGCACGAGCGAATGCCCCTTGAGCAACGACCCGGCTGTTACCTTCCAGGATTTCCATTTCATCAACAACGTCGGCATGAACGAGTTCCGCATTGACATCTCTGAGTTCTATGGCGCCGGTGGCGGTCTGAATGGCGTCCAGCTTTTCGGCGAGGACATCTTCGCGTATGCCATCAACGACTTCAACGAGCCTACTTGTGAGGGCCTCGGGATCCAGACGCCCTCGACGGCCACGGCAACCGGACCTTGGACAGAGTCGCCTTCGTTGCAGAGCAACTCTCGGTATCTAACAGCCCAGTTCTCAGCCGACAACATTTCTGACAGCTCCGTCGCGGTTGTCTTCTTCCCGAACATTGAGGAATCTGGCAATTACTCAGTTGAGATGTACACACCCGGCTGCATTCAAGACGACACTTGCACGTCGAGGGGCCAGGTCAACGTTACGGGCGACATGTCATCAGCAGGAAATGGCCGGTTTTCTACCACTCTCTACCAGACCAACAACTTCGACAAGTACGATCAGATCTACTTTGGCTACATTGAAGCCAGCTCCGCCGGTGGGTTCCGCCCCAGCGTCACTCTCAGGCCACTTGAAGGACAGACGCTCGACAACCTGACTGTTGTGGCTCAGCGGGTCGGCTTCTCGCTCGTGAATTCGACTGGCGGACTCAACGGCTTGTTCGACTACGATCCATCCGCCTCATCGTTCGACAAGAACGACTTTAGCAGCTCCGCCATCAACCAGTTGGGCGCAAGCTTTTCTACCGAGTCTGCAGTGACAAGCCTCAAGACCGTCGGCGATGTGGTGATTGTCGGAGGCAATTTCACATCGGCGGATGGCAGGAATGTTGTGGGCATCAACATTGCCAATCAGAAGGTCCAGCCGCTCGACGGAGGACTCAATGGCGAGGTCATGGCCATGCATCTGGAAGGCTCTCAACTGTATGTTGGCGGCGAGTTCTCGAACACACTCGACAACAGCATCACGGGTCTCAACAATGTCGGTGTTTACGCCTCGGACAACGACACGTGGACTGCTCTGGGAGCTGGCGTCAACGGAAAGGTCATCCATGTGGTTCCCATGCTGCTCAACTCTACCAGTGATGAAGCCGAGACCGTCATTTCCTTCACTGGTAGCTTTGACCAAATCAACGAGTTCGGCGACAACACGGCCGTATCCGTGTCTGGTTTCGCAATCTGGGTGCCGTCGCAGAACAACTGGCTCCAGAACCTCGAGGGCGTCTTCCCCGCCTACAGTGGTGTCCTGACTGCTGCAGCCCTCGATGTGCCCGACAGCGTACCCCTGTTCGCAGGCTCCATGAGCTCGGCCACTCTGAGCGCCAACGGCGCCGTTACCCTCTCTGAAAGGCTTGGCCAATTCCCCGTCAGAATTCAGCAACCGAGTTCGAGGTCCTCGGCGGTCCAGCGCCGCGATATCTTGTCGAGTGGTTCACAGGTCAATGGCGTTGTGACCGGAGCCTTCTACAACCAGGATGATCGGAACGTCACAGTTCTCGCCGGCCACTTCACCGCAACCAGCGGCGGCTCAACCCTTCAGAATCTGGTATTCATCAACGGCTCCGACAACAACGCGGTGCGCGGCATCGACTCGGGCGTCTCTGAGAACTCCACTTTTGTTGCGGTTGCCATTGTCGGCGACACTCTTTTCGCCGGCGGCGACGTCAGCGGCAACATCAACACGGACACCGTTCGAGGCCTACTCACTTACAACCTCGCTACGGCCAGCCATGGCTCGCAACCCCCGGGTCTCAACGGAGGCAACGGCACCGTCTCGGCTATCGAGGTTCGTCCAGAGACCGGAGATGTCTATGTCGGCGGCGCTTTTGAATCCGCTGGCTCATTCGACTGCCCCGGCGTGTGTTATTATAACACAGATCGCTCGCAGTGGAATCGACCCGGCACCGGTCTCGAGGGCAATGTCAGTACATTGCTGTGGGCGAGCGAGTCGCGCCTCATCGTCGGTGGCGGCATGCAACTCAACGATACTCTGGTGTCGCTCGTCGAGTATGACGCCGATGACCAGACCTGGACTGCGTTCCCCGGCCAGAATGACCTACCCGGGCCCGTCGATGCCATGACACGAGGTTCACAGAAAGGAGACCAGCTCTGGGTTGCAGGCACCTCCTCTAACGGAGGATCAGTCTATCTTATGAAGTACGACGGGTCCGACTGGCACCGTGCTGGCGAGTCGCTGCTGCCAAGAACGGTCATCCACAGCCTCCAGATCTTCACTGTCACTTCTTCCCACGAGGGCACCGACACGCTTGAAGCGGACAAGGTTTTGATGTTGACCGGCTCCATCGGTATCCCCGATTTCGGCACAGCCTCTGCCGCCATCTTCAACGGCACCGGCTTTGTACCTTATGCCCTGACCACCAACAACGGCAACGGTGTCGGAACGATCAGCAAGTTCTTCTCCCAAAACCAAGACTTCTTCAGCGACAAGGGTGGCAAGATGGCCCTTGTCTTTGTTGTCTTGATAGGTTTGGCTATCGCACTCGGCCTCATGTTCCTCCTTGTCATTGCAGGCATACTTCTCGATCGTCTTCGCAAGAAGCGCGAGGGTTACACCCCGGCGCCCACGTCCATGTACGACCGCGGGAGTGGCATCCAGAGGATACCGCCACACGAACTCCTCGAGTCCCTTGGCAAAGGGCGTCCCGGTGCGCCTCGTATCTAAAGAAGAAGCGGAGAGAAGGGTTTGATTTCGTTGGTCATTTCACATGGTTTGCAGGGCGTTCTGGATAGGCGTGCCAGGGGCACGAAAATGGGATTTGCTTTGATCTGGTCATTTTCACTCGAAAATACCCATAGACAACGCGTAAGGAAGAGAAAGATTTGGAGGAACGGCGTTGGCCGAATGTCCGTACCGAACTACTACCACCATCACCACACCACCATCACAATAACAACAAGCAACACGCCTCAAGTCCGCATGGCGGTGACACATGCGGCATACAGTCAGACGACGACGGCACATGTTGCCAGCAGGCTTTTGACCTCCAACCTCCCCCATCCGGACTTTTTCTTTTCCTTTTGCTTTCGCTTCTTCACGAACTCACGACTTTTGCTTAATGTCTAACAATCGTATTTTATACCATCACCTTGTGCGCTAGCCGCCTTGCCAGTTGGCTTTGCTGCAGCATACACCAACCTTCGTCTCGGGAGGCTGTACATTATCTCCTCCACTGGCTGCCTGCCAAAAGCTGTACGTACACAAGCGACGCTGAAAGCACTGTGTGCAAAAAGCAACAGACTGCCTGCACTTGCATGTGCACTTTTTCCTTTTGGTCTTGAAAGTCGGTTCGGAGGAACACGAAGGTGGTTGTGGTTTGCTATGGAGTCAGGAGGAGACAGGGACATGGGGCGCCATGACTGAGAATGTCTCGGTTATGGAAGCAGCGAGGTAGACAGAAGAATTGACGCGTTTAGCTCTGAAGAAGACAATACGATGCCGTATACATTGATTGCATCGATTCCCATGGTATAGAGTATTGATAAGGCAACTGGGACACCGCACCATTTGTGCTCACGTGACTTCGCGACAAGAACGCCCTGCAAATCATTTCCACGCCCCGCGTATCCGGGCGTGTTCCAGATCAGGGTCCATTCAACGTCATGACTTGGTGAGTCTGGCCTCGCTGTTTTTCCACCCACCACCACCTCAGCCAATTGTCTGCAGTCGGATTCGAATCCATTGCCCACTCTTTTCGCAGCAACGCCAACGAAACCAAGCAGTCCATCTGACGTCCACACGATCCCGCCCTCTCCCAGTCTGCGCCGTCCGACCACCCCCCGCGAGACAGGGCCCGCCAGTGGCGAAACAATGGCCCCGCCGACCGCGAAAAAGCGAAGCACCGTCACGCCCAAGAAGCCCGCGGCGGCGCTGCCCCGATCGAAGCAGAAGCCGAGGCCAAACGCTAGCATCCTGAGTTTCTTCCAGAAAGCCGAGAAGGAGGAGGAGGAGCTGTTCATCCAAGACCGCGCCGAGAAGAGCGCTGCTGCTGCTGCTGCTACGCCGACGTTGCACAACGGCCATGGCGGCGAGGGGGCGAGGTTCAATGAGGTCGGCGGTCCGGTGAAGAAGAGGCGGCTGAGCGGTGCCGGGGTGTCGGAGGGTGCCGAGGACGACAAGGAGAACGTCGATGGCCTGTTTGGAAGCGACGTGGAGGATGTGGAGGATGTTCTCTCTCGAGAAGAGAATAAAGACGAGAAGCCCCCCTCCGTGGACGAGGTGATGGCGGAACCCGACTCGGCGACACACAGAGTGGCCAAGGACAAACCCCCGGTCAAGGCGCCTGCGAAGCGGAAAGGGCCGTTTCTTGATGATTCCGACAGCGAGGACGAGAGCGATCCGGCGCCGAGACAGAGCTTTGCGATCCCACCGTTTGGTAAAACGGTCGGCCTGCCGCCCGCTGAGCCAGCGTTTGAAGGTGAGGAGCCCAAGAGCCCGGAAAAGGAGACAAGTTGCCCACCACCACCCCTCAAACAGGATGACTCACTCGACACGGCTTTTGCCAACATGGACGGCTACGAGAAGATGGACGATTTCCCGGACGACGAGGACCTGGGCGGCGAAGAATTCCGGATGATGCGGTACATGGAGGAGCAGTCACGACTAGAGATGGAGGTCATGAAGGCGGAGGATGACGATTTCTACGGTGACGCCCTACGACGAACGGATATTGCGAATGAAGCCAAGGTAGCCAATTGCCCCATTTGCGACGGGAGTCTGCTCGGACTATCGACGGATGATGCCACGAAACACGTCAATGCCTGTTTGGACGGAAATCCCATACCACTTCCTAAGCCGAAGAGCGCAGTTGAGCCCGTACGACAACCCAGGAGGGAAGACAGCGAGAGCACCAACGCCATGGTCGACGCCCCTGAGCTCGGGAAGCGCTTCCAGCGGGCCGCGGTCCCGAGAGCGCCCCAGGCGAATCCGTTCGATATCGTCGAAGGCGAGACGGCTGGGGCCATGGAGAAGAAGTCGTCGGCCTTTACGCAGCTCATGTCAGGCCACGCTGAAAGTGCTGCGTGGGCGAACGCGGCGGCCGCCGATAAGGCCTCGCGTGGCAAAGCTGCCTACGAGCGGACATGCCCCTTCTACAAAATCATGCCGGGGTTCAACATATGCGTCGACGCGTTCCGTTACGGCGCCGTCAAGGGGTGCCAGGCCTATTTCTTGAGTCACTTCCACAGCGATCACTACATTGGCCTTACGGCGCACTGGACTCACGGCCCGATATACTGCAGCAAAGTGACTGGCGACTTGTGTATCATGCAACTCAAGGTCGCCCCTAAATGGATCGTCGCGTTGGATTTTGAAGAGACGGTGGAAGTGCCGGGGACGGGAGGTGTCATGGTCACCATGATTCCGGCGAACCACTGCCCAGGCAGCTCACTCTTCCTCTTCGAGAAGCCTCATGGCAAGGGTGCCAACGTGAAGAAGCAGCGATATCTCCACTGCGGCGACTTCAGGGCTTGTCCCGCGCATGTCGAGCATCCACTGCTCAAGCCAGATGTCCAGGACGCCATCACCGGCAAGCTCAAGCAGCAGAGGATCGACCTGTGCTATCTCGACACAACGTACCTAAACCCTCGCTACTCTTTTCCACCCCAGGAGGATGTCATACGCACATGTGCCGACGTCTGTGCCGGCATCTCCCCCGATCCCAACTGCACGACCGACATCTGGGATATCATGGCTCGAAAAGGGGGCAACGGCTCCGTCAGCAAGTTCTTCATCAAGCCACCTTCGCCAGTGAAGGAAGAAAGCGATACCACCGCCTCGGGCTCGGCGAAAGACGGCACCGTCGACTTTTTCACCAACGTCAAGGAGAAGAAGCCGCCCACGTGCCGGCAGCGCCTCCTCGTCATATGCGGCACCTACTCGATCGGCAAGGAGCGCATCTGCATCGCCATCGCCCGCGCCCTCAAGACGAAGATCTTTGCCTCGCCCGCCAAGATCCGCATCTGCTCCAAGCTCGGCGACCCGGAGCTCACGTCGCTGCTGACGTCCGACCCGCTCGAGGCCCAGGTGCACATGCAGATGCTCATGGAGATCCGCGCCGAGACGCTCCAGGATTACCTCGACTCGTACCGGCCGCACTTTAGCCGCATCGTCGGCTTCCGCCCCTCGGGCTGGAGCTACCGGCCCGCGCCGGCGTCGACCGGCGCGACGGCCGCGTCGCTGACGAGCGCCAACACGGCCCCCGGCACCGTGGCCACGACGCAGATCCTGCACTCCATGGCCTGGCGGTCGCGCTTCACGGCCCAGAGCGTCGTGCCGCAGCGCGGCAGCACCAGGGAGGCCATGTGCTTTGGCGTCCCGTACAGCGAGCACAGCAGCTTCCGGGAGCTGGCCATGTTCGTCATGGCGCTGCGGATCGACAAGGTCATCCCCACCGTCAACGTCGGCAGCGAGCAGTCGCGCAAGAGGATGAAGTCGTGGATCGACCGGTGGATGGCGGAGAGGCGGCGCGGCGGCCTCGTCCGGGCTCTCGTCGAGGGCGAGGGCCAGAAGGGTGAAGGCGAGCGGGAGGTTGTGCTTTGGGAGGGCAAAGACAGCTCTGGAGGAGGCGCGTGGTGGTGAGAATTCGGCTGCGTTTGGGCGCTAAATACTTCTTGGGAAACAACCAAGGGATTGATATTCTACCTTTGTCTTGTTCACCACGCTGCGATTCATAGCCAAGATTATGAGCGCAGGACATGTTTCTTGCTTTCCGCTGCTTGACACAGATCAGTGTCCTTTTCAAGGCCCATTATGGTGTGTCAGGGAACACGACCTTTGGTAGACGTGGAATGAGATCTCAGGACGTAGATTTATCTTGCCTTAGGTCACAACATCTACGAATGGCCATAGTACAGATCTTGCCAGTCGCCACAAACGGTCAGCATACTACCGTTGTACGGCGATATATCATGGTAATCCCTTCCATCGATAGGATCAAACTATCTAGGGCATACAAATGCAGGAACCATTCATGCGCACTTCGACCAGTTGCACGGATGCATCACTCATCATGGAGCGTATCGCATCTATAGTCAAACTGGATCATCAGCTGGCAAGACGAACGAGATATCAAATAAAATCTTTAGCATTCTACTTGAACGAAGACAATAGACCTTAGAGATTCAGAGGTCCATCGAACAGAGCCGCAAGGCGATGACTAGACTTACAACGATCAAGCTACAACGGCACCGGAGCAGCTCTGATCCATTTTGACGAACACCAACGTGTGTGAATATCTGGAGACACAAACAGTCAAACAGTCAACGCCATCCAGTATCTGCATTGGACACCTCAAGTCACGTCTGAACCTCTCAGAACGTCTATTTGAACGATTTCCAATACCCTATTTCTCCTTCTTTTACTTTTTTTTTTTTTTTTTACTTTTTTGTCTTGGGGGACAATTGTCCTGCCCCCCTTGCCAACAAACCCCTCTGCCAGCAACACGAATCAACACTACTAGCCAGCTCGCGCCACATCCACCATCTCAATGCCGTAAGCTCTCTTCTTGAGCGTCGCCTCCGAAAGCCATGTCCCGGCCGAGAGGCTATCACATGGGGTCCCTTTGCAGGAAAGGGACGGCTTGGACGGCTTGCTTCTTCGAGGCTCAGAGTCAGAGCGGACGGACCCCCCTGATTCGTTGGGGGGGTTAGCAACTTTCCGGGCGC